CAGTCTGAGACAATTGATGGACATTTCGTAATAAAAGTATTCACCGTATGGTTCTTAGATTTTACTAAGAGATTCTGTAATTTTGTACACTACGCATATACATTAAAAAGATACAAATGAAAATGAGTAAGATAATGACTATCTTTACATTTTTTAAGGATGAGATATCAATAATGTGTCATGAGTTCAGAAGTGTTTCCATAGTATCTTGAACTCATCAAAATGTGATTTGTCAAAAACTTAATGAGATAACGCGGAGGAAGAAATCAGGAAGAAGAGCTTCTATTTTTTGACATCTAACGAGCAGATAAATATTAATCTAACGATAGTATCCTAATAAGATTTCATTAATTACAATTTATCATTGGGAATGCAGATGTGAGACAGTTGAGATCGTCTATTTTAAGTTGTAATTAATCATAAATAAAATAGTTGCTATCATTATTATTTTAATTCGTTGATTAGATTAAAAAAGTGGAACATCAATGCATACAGTATTGAAAGTTGACCATGGTAGATGTGATATTTGTTAAAATTTGTTAATCTGTCAGATTTGAGAATAGATTTTATTCCAGTAGTATTTGTGTTTTATATGTAAATGTATTCACCTTATAAAATATTTCTTTATGAGTTGTTTATTTTCGGAAAGAAATTACTAGGATACTATTATGCAGTTGTAACTAGTGGACTTCAGTCGTGTTGAATATGTGGAAGGTACCCACCTTGAGTAATTTTAAGTAAACTGACGTTTCCGTTGACTTGTTGGAGTTAAACTTGTACACCTTTGGATCCCGGTTCAGTGGTGTGGATGTTGTGTGTGAGCGCAGGACAGAAGATTATTGGTTTGACCATTGTTATATAAGTTGTGGATTTATACTACCGAAGGTTCTATATTTGAGCGTGTAAGCTGTCAAGTGCTTCAAGGTGTTCAATGATTGTCTAACTATAGTCAGTAAGCGATCGCAATAACAAATCTTTAATTCAGCGTTGAATAACATATACTTATGTCAACTGTACATATTATCTAAGAAGACAAACAGATATAAACTATATGGAAATAGCTAAAAAATTTGAACTTCTTCATATTGTTATACTTTTTCGAAGTGATAGAATTAACAAACTAATATGTAACGGAATAAAAATTATACGAGTAATACCCTTAACATTGGTTCTATTATAGGCAAGTAATATTTTAGCTACATCAGTTAGATGTCATTTAACCATGTCTAACCATAAACTTAAGACGCTCCACCTGCTTTTCTCATATTTAACAATAACGTAGATTTAAGTTTTGAACAAATACACATATATATTTAAAAACGCTGTCTACACAGACTAACACTGTCACTAACACTGTCTAATGAACTAAAAATCCTATCCCGCTGTAATCGTCTTGAATACACTCATATCCTGATTCTAGAGGACTTCAATCTTCCTAAAGTCAACTTCGCTGAACACACGTACATTGAAGATGACAACTCTACTGAAGTTTGGTTCTTGAGGATCTCGGATTATTTGAAAATGTGAAGTTATCAACTATCTGGAGAAATAGCCGGACACTGTCACGCTAAGACTTATATTTACCAACACAGAATTCCTAATTCACAATCTCGCAATCCTAGATCCATTGTGTTAAATTGGTCATGCTATCATAGCTTTTAATTTTATCAACAAAACTGAGCTAAGACATCCGTAAGCGACAGGCAACAGAATGGCAAACTATTAGATGTGTCCACTTTACAGGTGAATCTACAGTAGGTGGACTGATAAGCCCACCCTGAACTTGATATGGACACTTATTAGGACTTCTTACTGAACACGATCTTATGTGCTACAAAACCGTCTGTTCTGAAAAGTTCCCAAGTTTAAAAAGTAACTTAAAGTCATGAAGAATCTCACCCTTTGAAAGCTAAGACGCGAAAAGCACTACTAGGAATAATATAAATGAAATCTTGAAAACAGTACATATGAGCAGTTCAAACAAGCAAAGGATCAATGCACTAATTCAGTAAGGGAAGTCGGGCTTTACTATCAAATAAAGCCAATCTATAAAGTTCTCTTCAATCCTCAAACCTTATTCTGTCATGTAGCCTCCCTTCAGCAATACAAAAGAAGAGCTTCTCAAATGTCAGATCCTGGTGGCCCAACCAAAAACGACGGTGACGCCGCCGACCTATGTGCGGAAAGGTACCTTAAGCATTTCAACTGTACCTTACTAAGTGCATCGATGAGAACCCTGTCTGCAACTCAACAGGGCCATCAGACGTGAACCTGACTTGGTGTATCAGAAACCGTAGCGTCCAAACATGGACACTTCTTTTGGTCCGTACACAGTTCATTTTGTAATAATGAGGGAAGAAGCTTCTCTATTGGCAAAATACCTAGTGTGGTGTTCGTGTGCTCGCTACATCGAATTACCGTATGGGAAAATTGGAAGTTGGCACACAATACACCATCTTTCGAAGAAGGTCAACGTAGCTAACCTTCATACTACGAGCCAGTAGCACTGACCACAATAATCTAAACTATGAGATCCTAATATGTGACGGTCCGTGCGACTGCTTACTACCATAAACTATTTTTCATCCTAGCAGCTTAGTTTCGGAAAAAGTCACATGTAAAACCAACTTGCTGAATGCATTGGACAGGTGGACAACCATCCTTGGTTGCAAGGGAAAGTTTGATGTCACATACCTGGACTTCTCGAAAGCTTTTGATGAGATAACTCATAAATTTTCATGATTGCATTCATGAGTCGATCTAATCTAAACCACCATTGAAACCTGGAAGCGCTAGACGCCAGTTTTGTGAATTCAATTGGGAAAATACTACAACGTCCACAAATCCCCATAGTGATATCAATCATATATGCATCATCAATAAGCAAGGTACCAAGTAACCGTTAATCGATTGCTTAATATCGTATCTGAATAATCGATATGTGAAAGTCATTTTTCACGATTGATTGATCACTCGGTGGTGATCAGTGTCATGTATGTCAAGTCCTTCATAGTGCAGATCGAATGCTATCGACCAAGTTGTAATGTGACCACTAGTCTAGATGACTCGACATTGCGGGCACTATGTTGAGATTACATGGTGGTTGGAGGTAGTCCACAGGAAACCACGGACCCCGGTTTCGTGCTACTTGGCACTCGTCAGCAAGGTGTGCCTGTAATCTTGAGGGATCTAGTGCTGCCTGACTGATTCGATCACATGTCGCCCACATTCACAGTCAGAGACGCCACCATTTGACTATCCGTGAAGCGGTTGACCTCCTGTACGACCGAGATGTAATCACAATTGATTGATCACTGGGTGGTGATCAATATCATATGGGTCAAGTCCTTCTAAGCTTAGATCGAATGCTATCGACCAAAGTCACCTTTTTATTCATTTTTCCTCGGGTTTCGAAATGTTCTTTTGTGGTCCCTTAGGGTTTAGCTCTCTAACCTCTTTTTTAATTTACACAAATTACCTATGGAACTATGGTCTACTATGATATTAGTACTGCTCGAATAATAGACCTGATCCTAAAATTGTAGATTTTTCATGGTAAAACTGCCTAATCGATAAGATCTTACGTGGAAGTTACATCATCGTCTACACCAACTCATTGCATCATAACAATTATCAATCCATGATGGAGAACAAGCTTAGGCTAGAGATAGGACAGTATATTTAATATGGTCAAAATTTATACGATAAAATGGACCATGCCTGCACGGCCGAGCCATGCCATTCGATCAACACCAATTCATTCAACTCATTTTTCCCGCCTTTTCCATCGTTAGGTATTTCTCCGCGTTTAATATTGAATAACTTCGGGGAGACATTTACAATCGAGATGATGAAATGGCACTTCAGGAAAATCTCACTCAACTTCAAAGTTGGGTAGATAACGACGAACTTACCTCTAACACTTCAAAATGCAAATTAGTCCATCTGAGACATATTACAGACTATAAATAGAACTAAGGTGTTGGGGAGGATATGTCCCCAAAACTCATAGTTTGTGATTTTATCTTTGTGGAGCTTGTATGCAGATGTATGCGTGGGCATTACTTAACACCCACGCACATAGTCGATTGACGAACTTATCGATTAAATGTTTAAAAGCTCCATGGCAATATCGATATATATATATTTGTATATATATGTTTTAAACTGTGTTCGTGGTGCTCGCTCGTTTTCTGGCTGTTTGCAGAATGTATTTTCCATACCAAGCTTTGACTTTTCCTTCTAGATAGCGGGGCTGGAACGCATCAATAGCTAGATTATTGGTCTTTGGTCACTGAGTCTTGTTCTCGTTCGCAGATTAAGTGGACTCGTGAAGCTTCAAACCTAACATAAGGTAACTTTCCTACGGAGGTATCTCAGTTGGAATATGAAAACATAGTTTCTCCTCTATTACTCCGGAAGGATAACAAAACATTGAACATATCCAAGGGTGAGCCACAAAATCAGTTCGGAGACCAAAATTCAAGAATTATGAAGAGCGCTTCAAGTAATCAAACTTTTACTCATTACAGTATAGGCTTCTCGGAGGTGATCTCCGAATGACTTAGAAAATCCTGAAGACTCTTGAGCGTCCTCTTAAACGCCTACTTATTCCCAGCTTCAACACAGACTTTAGGTGTGACACCTAGAAATTAGAGATAAAACATAGGACGGTTAACACATCATTTACTCTTTACGAGTAGTCAAATGCTAGAATTAGCAGCTACTTAAACTAGTCCAAGCGATTTTTCAGAGGCTCTTTAAGAAGAAACCTAACATACTGTTCAGGACTAAGGACAGTACCCCACTATGATTTATCATTTTTTTAATCTTTTATCGTTAAATATGCTTGAGTTTTTACCTGTAGACATCAGTGATCAAACACTACCAGATAAGGAGGCTTGTCGAGCAAAAACGTCTTCTATTCCGTCCAGAATAGTCTAAAACTATTGGAACCGATTGAATCACAGAGATTTTGTGTATTGGACACTGAGAATTGAATGTGGGAGGTTTGTATCTTCAAGGTTGGTGTGCCTTTTCTTACATGATAATTGTTTTTAATATTCTTTGTGATTATTGGCCTCATAAATGCTTTATGGCGTATAGTCCTCGAAAAGCTAATGTTCGTTATCCGAAACTTTCGATCAACCCTCATCAAAAATTTTGGGTCAGGGATGTTGTTTACAACCTCAACCAATCAAGTAGTGTATAAATATATCTTAGCAAACCCCACCACTTCTTATCAAGTAATCCTGTCCTTTTAGCGTTTTCTTTGCAACTTCCTTTGCAAATTTAAGATATCTCGTAACTACAATCGTTATATTACACGATACCTGAGTTCACCACATTTTAGTGACTGCCTCTAACTACCTAACATTGGGATATATAAAACAAAAGGTGGATTGAAAGTAACCCGAATTTTGATTATTGTATTTATATTGTATATATTTGTCACACCAATCTGGAGACTATGAATACTAGGTTTGTTTAAAGGGTCAGAAATGTATGCTAGTTCTCTATGAATAGACTTCGTTTGAATTAACCATTTCAGACGTTAGACGTTGTTTCTTAAACTGAATTCTCCTTACTTGTTACTTTATAGACTGACCCTTGGAGGATCGGTATCCCTTGCTTGAAAATTCAACTAGTTAGTTAGAAAGGAAATGTTAAGAAAAGGTTGTACAAATGGCTTGCGGGCCCTTAAACTTGGAAAAGTTTGCTATATTCATCATTCGAAGTTTACTTGTGCACCTTGTATTGCTTACTTTGGAGGACAGCGCAGTCAGTTTTTGGACGCGTCAATGTTGAAATTACCATCGTCTCAGGTAAGACATGTATTTCGTATTTCTAGATATCTTCGTTTACTTCTAAATCAGTCGAATTATTTAGTTGTTTCTCAAGAGTATGGTTTCTCTTACCTTTGCTCATATTTGGTGTGGTCATTAGAAATCTTTAATATCCTTCAGATTTTAACATCAAAGTTTCCTCAACTAAACCTGTAAATAGTAGTTACCTATGTAACTTCGAAATTAATACTATAGCCTTTGGTCTGTGCTTTAGGACAATATTTGTTTCCAATATTTAGATTAAAGACATCACACACAAATTTATGCTTTGTAGTAATACTTTATTCGTATTATCAAGAAAATGTAGTTTTAATAATCTAATGACGATTTTTATAATTCAGCTGTGATCGTTTGCCGTATCACTGTTGTACAGCATTTAAATCCTCTGTTTTGTTATAGACTTACCCGTTAATAAGAATATCTGGAGAGTAATGGTCAAAACCCAAAGTAGGAAGAGTTGTATAATAGTCACTTTACTTACGTTCACATTTTACCATCTCATAATACACATAGGTGCATCAGTGTACAGATCATTAGGACTTACATTATTGGATTATCTTCTCGTTAACTCATGGTAAATTAAACTTGAGAACAACTTACAATTGTTTACTGTCGTAGTGTACGCTACTTATGCTGACAGATGTAAGTAGTATCTAGCAGCAGTCGGAAGTGAAATGCCGGCTAGCATAAGAATAAATTAAAAAGAGGATGGGAGACGGAGAGCAGTCTAGATAACAACAGAATTCAAGGAATCATGAAGTACGTAATGGATAACTGAAGGAAGGTGTACAAATAATGTATGTAATAAATGGTTTACATGTTTTACGAAGGCGCCGTATAATTTTCCTTCAAACAATAACTTGGTTTTCCCCACTAAGTCTTCGTTCACTACAGTATTACATAAAATGTTCTTCGTTATCATGTAGTCATCTCACTTCTATTTTGATTTAAATATATAATAGAGCACTTCTAATTTACATAAATTGTGGAGGTTTATTTCACTCTTCTAAACTTCTTATGCTTTATTCAATGTCTAAAATTAAACTTAAGGATAATCACAATTAGCAAGTACTTAATTTCAGTTATTAATCTTTTTATGCTTAGTTTATTGTTGAGACACTACCCTGGACATCAGCTAGATAATCTGTTAACCTATAACTTCCTCGCATACGTAGCTGAACCACCTTTTGTGGTCTAATCCGAGCGCACTGCAGTGACAAAATGGGGTCTAACGAGGTCTGATAGACTATATCCTGATGACTGATTATGTATATTAAGAGATCACAAAGTTAGAAAAATTACTTTCGAGGATGCTAAGTTCGGTAAATGACCCTGCTTAATTTCTCTTGTGTCTGTAATCGATTTCATAGTCATGATATATACATTTTGAGAACAAATAGTGACAAAAGCCAACAAAATTATCTGAACACTACTTAACACATCTGTACATATTAAATTTGCTTTCTTCCTCGAAAAGTTATCCATTCCAGACAATTATTGCAGTTTGTCCTATGTCCATTGTTATGAGGTAGTAATTCAGCTGTTTAAGCACTAGACTTTAATGGGCCCCTATGTTTAAATCTAATCTTATCTACGTTGGTCCGGATAACTGGATAGTATGTTTCTAAGCCGAGTACATAAGTTTCTATTAGGTAAATGAGTTTCATATATCCATTATAATAGTGGGATTATACTTTTACAGTTGTTGTAGCTGTTGTTTTTATTAAGTTTCAGTGATTATGAAATTTACGATTTGTAAATTTGCGTTTATTGTTTAGTAATGAAACTATCTATCCCTCGTCGTATTTGTTCAAATATTTTGTTCATTACTTTAAAAAAAACAATCTATAGATCCAATTCATACCAAAATATGCATTTTCAACTTCATCGGGAAAAGGTTCGTCAGACGATGATAGTGGTATCGATCCAGATGGCTTACCTACTTCAAATACACATGAATCTGATCCATCATCTACGCCACTTCCTCCTGCAGTTCCACCATTAGCATTGTCTCCACAAAATATCCCAGAGAATTTCCCTATTGTACCGGTGATTGCAATATCTGGTTCACCGTTATTCCCAAAATTTGTTAAAATGATTGAGGTATGTATGTATGTATGTACGTATGTATGGTATACGCATAAAGTCATCAATAGGTACCATTTCAAATGAACATTACGTGTTTATCTATTGAGATACATGCGTTGAAAGATTAGACCTTGAGAATGTGGTTTGAGTGGACAAAGTTAAAAGGTATGTGTAAAAAGACACTGGGATTTAAAATTCAGAGAAAGAGTAAATGACTCCTCACCATTGTGAACAGTTCTGAACTACTTCATTTAAAGTTTCTAGACAGTGATGGTGGTTATCTCAGACCCTAACCAGGTAGTTTGCACCTACTAACATGTCACAATGACTCCTGCACTAGCAAGCGTCGCTGTTCGTGCTACGCAGTGGTTAGGCTTACATAAAACATGTCCTGACCAACACAGTTGATGAGGATTAACTACCTCATCAACTGATTCGCCACTTTGCCAAGTACTCTATGTGTGACCTCAACATGGCTCACCCAGTCGTTTCACGGAAAGTGCGCAATCCTTCAAAGACATGTGTGATCAAAAGCCCTCACCTCACACATGTCTTCTACTTTAATAGACTATTTCACAACTATATAATAGGACAGACCTCTGCACAATATACACACTTTGGTTAATAGACAGACACCTTGTCTACACTATAATTGACAAAAGTTGACAAATACCAACCGGGCTTTTTTTATCCTTACCTAGATTCCCTCAGATACTAATCCACTAGGTCTGATGAGATTAATCTAAATGGTTCTTAGGCATATCTCGACAGAATAAGCTATCGTTTCACCTGTTGGAGAAATACCAATGATTTTGTCTAAAACGATGGCTCATTAGTTAACTCGTTTAGGCATTGGTAACTACGTCTCGCGTCCTAGCACCGCTTCACCTACTTTGACTTGAGCATCCGGATAGTGTCATTAGTCTTCACACTTCGAGTATGGCTCATACCCGACCACCTAGTGGATGGTTACATTTAATATTATGACTATTATCTAGAAAAACAAAAAAGCCTCAATAAATTGTCACCTAGCTCAAAGAATTCAGCCTTACTGAATCATATTTCTACTATGTAGGATATATATTAAGCAAATGGCTGTATAAAAGATAGTGGGAGAGCGATGTATATTCAAACAAAAAGTTCTCCATTTAACGAATTGTCTTTGGTGATTGGATCATGTGTTTTTAGTCGTAACAAGTCATAACGCTATCGTGATGTGTTATAGTGGTCAACACATAAATAAGTTGAAAAAGACTAAATGTGACTAGACCAGCACATGGGATCAATTATTAAAGGAACATATACTAGGTCATATAAAAAAATATATGATTCACGATCCTGGTCCATAAAATAACTATAGTGTACAGACGGTAGTAACGATTAACATGACACAAGATTGACTGTATTGACACAGGTAGAATTTTTATCCGTAATCTTTCTTCGTAATTTACATTTGTGATCCTGAAATTCCTTCTTCTCAAGCCTCATTCTTAAAATTCATTCTTTCTTACTATCACCGTTCCTGCTGTTCAAGTTTTTGCTATTCATTTTATTAATTCGCCATCCCAAGTAGGGGAAATAAACGGTTGTGTCATATCCTACGTTTCTTTTCTTCTGTTGACTGTCTACATGTGCCTATCCCTACATGACACCTAGTTTATTAGTATTTGGCAATACATGTCTTCGAAACATCGTTTGGGTTTATCGAGACGCCTGAGTAAGCAGTGTCGAGATTAGGTACGAGACAATAAGTAAATCAGTTGGATAAGATTATGAAACTTCATTGACTTGCATTTCATGTATTCAGCTACCACATACCTCGAAGTCTAATGAGATATCTGAAGTAAGAGTTCGGTGAAAGCTAAGATAGCCATACCAAGCCACACTATCAGACCATGAAACTGTTGACTGCTGAATAACCGTGTTGATAGATCTCAACTATCTAGTCGGGGTATATGAAATTATTATGACGAATAGTTGGAGACATTGTGAGACATCGTTCTCACATGTATAGATTCATTGTGTTCTCCTGGATTTTGAGTTTCAAAATTATGTTATGCTTTCTACTTGTTTCTCTCGAATCTTATTCTCAGTTGTAGACGTTTGTTTTTTTAGATCACTTCGAGGCAGCTTCAATCAATCGAAATATTTACCATGTTATCTATAACTGACACCGACACAATACGTAAGAAAATAGCTACAAAATTTGCTCCAACCACATTTCTTTGTACGAAAGGTTGAGGAAAACATGAATATCTATACCACCCCAAATAGTTATCTCGGTGTTACTGATCAGAATTAACTGATAGGACTCAACTACTGTTGAGTCTTAATGCATTAATAGGTATTAAATTTATATCCAGATCTTGATAAATTACTTGATCTGTCTATTCCACACGGATATTTTATTCCAACGGCCAATCTGTCTCTTGACATCTCATAACTACACATTTTAGGAATTATTTCATCACAAAAACAGTTTTTTTTTGTTATTGTTGTTATGAGTAGTATTACATGATATCTGATGTACAACTTATCCAACAGGTTTATACACAGTTAAGTTGATATGAACTTAATAGATAATTTGGGAAAGGTTTTACTTACGCCTGTTACTCTTAATGGAGCTTAGGCCACCGACCAGCATTCTCCAACGCACTCTGTCCTGGGCCTTCTTTTCTAGTTCCATCCAATTCTTGTTCATGTTTCTCATGTCTATCTCCATTTCCCAACGTAATGTGTTCTTTGGTCTTCCTCTTTTCCTTTAGTCTTGAGGATTCCAAATGAGGGCTTGTCTTGTGACGTGGTCAGGTGCTTTCCTCAATGTGTGTCCTGTCCACTTCCAGTGCTTCTCACTGATTTCTTCCTCCGCTGGGATCTGTTTTGTTCTCTCTCATAGTAGGTTACAGTTACCGCTACATCTGCTTTCAATGCCTCTGCTGGAATGTTGTCTGGTCCTGCTGCTTTGCCACTCTTTGTCTGATGGCCATGCTGATTTCTTCAACTGTTGGTGGGCCAACATTGATTAGGAGGTCCATGGGTGCTGCTTCGATATTGGGTGGCTTCAGTGGGGCTGGTCGATTCAAGAGTCCTTGGAAAAGGCTTTACTTGACATATATTCACATCATCTCTATCTAAGTAAAAATAACTTCTTTGGTGAGACTGTAATTTATGGACCATCTTTAAGCGACATTAAAGTGACTTTGAGAATGTTCACCTTATTTGCTAAGGCTGAATGAAAGTTATAAACCAGTGTGAAGAATAAAAATTATGATTCACAGTTAATGGTTAAGGTTACGAATTAGATTTATCGTTCTCAACACAAACTGACATCAGCTAAAATACCAAAACGCTATTTAATCAATCGGATATATGAATTTGGCGCCAAAAGCCAAGATCCGCTGTCCTAAATCTGATTGATTCGTCCATAAATTATAATCCTACCACTTTTGTGATCATGATCATTTCATTGTGATTTTTTCGTTTCTTTTCCAACAAAAAAATTTATAAGATCACTGATTCACGTCTGATAAGTCTTATTCGTCGAAAAATCAAATTGAATGCTCCATATGCGGGAATATTTTTAAAGAAACCAAATACAGAGTAAGTCATAGTTTCTATTAGCTTTTTTTAAAAAAACAAACAAACTAGGGATCATTAACTGTATACACCTGCGCTTCACTCCGCTACTGGGTTCGAGTCCCAAAGTGAACATCAAACACTGGAGTGAAGGTGGATTCAACAAACAAGTTCTAAATAGAAAATAAAACTTTAGGTTTTGGATTCCGATACTAGTCATTATCTCTGCTTTAACACAATAAATTGTTGACTCCTGCAAAAACCGGTTAGTAACTTGCATTCATACAAAGCTAAGAAGTTTAAAGATACTCAAACAAAAATCTCTAAACATCAACTAGACGATAATTGATTAAGCATTTTGTTTATTTATCTATTTATTTGAACACATATATACTGGTACAAGGGGACAACAGATACATATGCGACACATAAATCTCATTTGATTTGTGTGAGGGCTGTGGTACTGCCTGGGTGCCCAAACCGAAGTAGGTATTTTTCTTAGGGGTCCACACCCGGAGCCTTCGACCTAAAGGTCTGATCCAAAAGGCAGTGGAACAACGTAAGATGTAGTCCAATGGTACACGGTGATCAACGATTGGTTCATATGCCATTTGTTCCCTCAGGGTACTGGAGCCCATGTGCACCATTGGTTTGGAATGAGGGTTCCCCGACCCCCTTAGTTGGACTCTCCGTGTCCACCAACCCAGTTAAAACGCCAGACATTCGCTTTCCGTCCTCTCAATTTCGTAAACAACACCCGTGGTGTTAGAAGGCATTGATTAGGACTTTTTTGGCAGAGGCTATATACGCGTGGTCACGTGAGAGCATTTGGAAAGGAAGAGCTAACTCTGCCCACTCTCGGCCGTACCAGGTCATACAAAATAAATAATTTCTTAATATATGAAAGCATTTAGTTGCATGCATAATTAGTTGGGTTGTTTACACGATTCATTTCAATTCAAAACCGATGTAGCTCACTCCATAAATGCATACAAACAAATTACATATGTATGAATGAATTCTCCTCTTGTAATTTGTTTTTGTTGTTCCTGATTACATTTATATATATCTGTAAATGATCAAGTAGTCTATGCACTATTCCTGTTTCATAGTACTTCAAATGATAAGATCACAGCTGAAGATTTATGTTTTAAATTTTTATATAAAGATATTTGTATGGCAAATTACTACCTGTTTCCCTAATTTCATCTTCAAATTCTGAATTACTAAAGTGTATTTCCATTTTCTAGTGATTTGATTTTTAGACACCATGTTACAGACCGAAACCTTGCTCTTCATCTAATTCTGATATGATCCATCGGGCAGTAGTATCACTTACTTAGGATGCAACTCAAAGCCAAGTACACAATTTCTTGTCCTATGGCTCGTTAAATATCACGTAACGAAAATCAGCAATCAGAATACCGATTTTTATGACCTTGTACTAAACTAACGGTGTGTTAACCAAAACGAGAAGCCTTGAGTCAACCCTGAGTCCCTATTGGTCCTCCGTATAGTAACTTTTCGCCTGGCTCGGCCCGTTCAGTTCAGAACGCAAACATCAGCCTCCACCGTATGAATCGTATGGTCCAGACATACGTAGTTTCCATACAGACAGATCAGATCACATCATATCATAAAATAAAAACCAATGATTATACAAGATTAAGCTAAAAGTAGCTGTGAGTGTGAGAGACTATAACTATTAAATTGGGAATAACTTAAGAATAGTAGGTCGTATAAAAGTCGTCAATAGGTCAAACTGAGGCTTATAAAAAGAGGAATATGAATATATATGTAATAAAGTTACTAAATAGTTATACAAGAAGAATATTCGTATAATATTAGTCCATAAGTAGATTCTATCAGTTACCAATCATTTATTATTCGTTCGGATATAACACATAGACATTCTGTTTTTAAATGACTATTTATAATTCACCCGTTTGATTTTGATACTTCTTGTAGACAGTCAGATGTCGCAAATAGTATGGATGAATTGCATCGAGTTGGCACATTTGTACACATTCCTGAATGGGATGATTTAGGCTCGAAAATTCGTCTACTAGTTATTGGACATCGTCGGTGAGTCTTTTGTTTATCAAATGTGTTTCCCTTGTCGTCCTTGTCTTTTCTCCATGTTACACTGTTAGAACTTTTGTTTTATGATGATTAGTCATTTGAGGGGGGCGGGATTTGGTATGCTTTTAGCGATAACACTTTTATTGTCTGACTTTTCCGGGGTTGATCTTCCACCAGGAGATTCACTTGTTGATTTAGAATACACAGACGGTGTATTTCTGTTTGGTGAAGGCACTGACAATGTAGTTTTCTGACCACCTTAAGCAACAATGTTCGGGATGCGGTTCTTTCCTTCTAAATCTAAAATGTTACTTCAGGATTAACTTGCGTCGTTGCCTAATTTGTCGATAGGAAGTGAAGTAGTCGAACTCATCGACCTCTTCATTTATCTTAGGAGTCTCATCAGTCCTGATGGTCTGGCATCTGACGGTTTTTTGACGCGAGTTCAGAAGGCTCGATTGGTTTTTGTCCATTTATGTCAGTTGTGGCGTAGGTGAGATACCTGTCTGTCAACCAAAAAACGAGTTTACTGCGCAGCGATTCTGTCCGTTCTACTTTTTGGGTATGAAATATGGTCATTAAGAACAGAGGATATTCGTATGCTGCTAGTATTTAATCATAGGTGTCTTCAAAGCATTGCTCGTGTATTTTGAGACCACTGATTAAGGAATCTCCGAATTAGGAATGGAATACTGTGTAAGAATGGCAAATCGATTGAAGTGGTAGTAAATCTTCATCAACCGAGATGGGTTGGCACATATTATTATTATCATTATTGTTATTATTATTAGCTTTATTCAATATCATGTATTTTTGATACAATATAGAATTCTCATCACAAAGTACTTTAACGAGTTTCAATTTCTTATTTCTTGGTCGACCCTGACGATAACATATTGAGTGGTCGTCAGTTAGGCAGGCTGCCAGTACGTGTCCCCAACTACCGCCTACCTTGACGGGCGACGTTTTCTGGCGTAGGAGTTGGTTCAGAGAAAGCAAAGGAAGGGTAAATCGAATATGGCATCAATCATTGACAATTGAACTAAGGCATGTTAATAAGTGTTTGTTACTTGGTTGGGGTCTGCGTTGATTATGGTAACCAGTGGTTTGAGAGTTTGAATTACACAGCTCAAAACCATTTTCAATGGCATAGGTGCATCCATTCTTGTCTCCCCTCAAATTCTGAACTTCTAAATACCTCATAATCTTTTTGTATTCGCATTTCACCAATTTGTATTTTCTTGAAGCATATCTTTTATGTCTGATCTTTTATATTACCCCTGATACTGTATGTTTGTTATTCACTACATCCGTGTACACTTAACACATATTTGAAGTCTTCTATCACCTATCATTTGTACTAGTATTATATTTCAAGTGTCATATCTACAATACTATGCTCCTATGTACAGTGTCGTTAGTTGTTAGTAGCTAGGTACCCTGATGTAGATGTCGATTTTGCATATCATGATGACCAAGTTGATTTATATTAACTGAAACGGTTGTTCCTTAAAGTTCCACCGTTTCTGACAGGTGATCTGTAAAACGGTGAAATCAGAAGTAACAAATCTAAGATCCAAGGGTAAAGTCATACTACCGAATGTACATGTACGGGGATAGTAAAGTGTTTCCCTTAAACAACTAGCATTCCTAGCGGTACTGGTTTTTCCACAACAAAAGAAGGCGATTAAAAAGACTATGGACCAAAAATAAATCATACGGTATTTCATAGATTTTTGTCTCTAAAAGTAAGGTTCAACAAGTGCAAAGCTACTACTGCTATTCACAAAACTGTTGTGTGTATAACTAGCCTCAACACTATTATAATGAATGAATAAATAAAGTCCATAACTGTTGATGTAGTTTGCAGCGATGCTGCCTTCTCACAAGGAAGGAAGAGGTTAGAAAAGGTCGACCTTAAAAATGTCACACCTCACCTTACCTCATGGACTTCCGTCTTCGGCGGTAAGGCCCTTTGAGGAACGGAGCTAAAACATTAAAAACCTCCCACAAAGAGGCCGTGTGCGACCAGCCTCAAGCAGTTGCCCCTGGGGCTCTGCGGTCACGCTCCCAGGTCGTTAAGGCCAACACTAATCCAACTTCCTTTCCAGGTTCCTCAAGAAATACCTTTCCACGGTGTGTGCAGCTGGGAAGTGACACCAGTCCTCATACCGTAACAGCACACTGACTTTCTTCCTTTAGAATCTGGGTCCCAAAACCTTGTACCTTTTCTTTGCCTAATCTTTTCTATTACTTCTGATATTGTTATTACTTCTAAAACTCTGGTATTTGTCTTGTAATAATTTTGTTTCGTTGTGTTAATGTTGTATAACAATTTGAATCGACGCACATATGTATCAGTTTCTATGTCGCATATAACTGACTAAATGTAATTGTTAAGTTTTCTCGTAGTAATTTTTTCTTCATTCTTACTTTCCTTTATTGTAAACTAAACCTAATTACCTTTCTTATATATGATGTACATTGTGTTTAGCATTGAACTGATTCGTCCAGTTGTAGAGGATAATGTAGAAGAAGAGGTCAGCTTGCCAGGTTAGTATACAGTTATAATCTTTATGACTGAGAATCGTTCACAATGATGTAAATACATTCACTCCTTATTTTATCCTGAATCTTGATTTTCAGAATCCCTTCATACAAACTTTTCCACTCTGTCCGCTCAAACTATATTCACAATGTTTAGTTTTTCGTTTTATTATTGCCACTACATTATTTCGATCTATTTTGTCATTATCATCTCATCGTGTTAATCAAATATGAAAATTTGGGCTAACGTACATCTATGTCATACTCTACGTTGAAGTTGTCTGTTTGATATAATTTAAAATTACCCAATAACCAAATACATGTTGGAGTATATGATTCTCAAACCCTACTATCTTTTCGTTAGCATTAATATAAAACGAAATGGTTATGTAAACTCACGTAGCGTTGTTAAATCCATTTGGATATTCAAACTGAATGACGGAGTAATCCATAAAATTCTCAAATAAAACCAATGTATTTGTATACATCGGTTGGTGGCCTATCCCCCACTGAGAGTAGCAGTAATTTGTATCCAAGACTCGATATTTTTTATTAAAATGATTGTATTGATGATAAATTCTACAGAACTCAATTCTTGAGTTGTCTTAAGCATTTATACGCGTCAAGGTATGATCGAAGAAGTAACACCTAGTAGTAGTTGTGTTCATTCAACAATTCCAAATTATTCACGCAAAGTATCTTTATTGTCACAAATAAATGAACTTTCAGTGAAAGGAATTGTTGAGAATGTTAAGAGAATATTTTCACAATAATTGATTAATTAAATGTCACAGATTCATGTGAATACTTAGGAATATTACACAGCAATAATCGGACATTAAGCGCTACATGCTCAAAAATAATGGATAATTGTATAAGCTACTTAATATTAATAAGTAGCATAATATAATTAAAAAAACTGAATAGGAAAGATATGGTACATACATTAAACAGAATTAACAAAGCTGAACTTAGGCTCAAATTCATTGTTTAATGTTAAAACAATGAATTCGATGTTTAACCACTAGATTGTTTGTCCTGCTTTGAATCATCTATTTCTGGTTAAATAGCCAAATAGCAATGATAATACTCTTCAAAATGGTGTGATAGCAAAAAATGACTAATGAGAAATCGGTCAGATTACCGTTTAATCAGCATGATTTAGTTATTATCGATTGTATCACTGTATAAGAGATTTATACTGTATGAATATTGTCATAGCAACACGCGGTATATCCAAATAATCGATATATCCATGGATATTGACAACTATTTTCAGCATTGAACCAGATATGTTAATACACTTTGTTTTATACTGTCCTTTGATTAGAGGCCACATTACCCATTTGGTCGATAGAATTCTGTTAGCACTAGTAATTCGAGAAATACGCAATTACTACTGATGATGTTAATCTAACGCCTAACATGGCCAAACTCTATTGGTTACGACTGCTCAACCATGTCAGGGATGAGAAAAGCATCACCTATAAGAGCGGACAATGGTAACTCACTATCGCATATTGACTAAAGTTAGAAATGTAAACCATTGAAATAAAAATCAGTGGTATGAAGGTTAAGCGCTTGCCGTAAGACCTTAATTCCCTTGGTTCGACCCTTGAGGCGGTTGTGGATGCTCACCTTTGTGGATAGTTTCATATTGAGATAAAACGATTACCCATTTTTACCGGGTTCCCGATGATTTTCTAATTGGGGTTAACCCACGATGTAAAACTATGAAATACAACAATTTCCATAACTCTCTATACTTAAAATCTATTTTATACTTTCTAGTGACTAATTTATAGTGATAATTGCTAGAGCTCTAAGGAGCTGTTTTCAGTACATTTTAAACATGAAATTATTTTTCACCCAGTGACCGATTGGTGTGAATTTTTGTATTCATTCTTCTCTATGTTTTATTTTAATCTGTAATTATTTTACTTTATATGCATTTTATGAAGCAGTTGGGAAACGTAACAGTTTAGTTCGACGCGCTAAACGTGCAGCGGTCAAAATCACAGAATCTTTAAGTTCTAAACCATCAAATAATCAAACATCATCATCATCACCATCTTCGGAAGATACAACATCTATAAAAGGTGAAAATCAGTCAGATAGCAACACTAGTGGTGGGTTTAGTAGTAGTGGTAGTTCCCGTGCTTCCACAATATTGGATAACGTTGAACTTGGTGCTTCTTCACCAGTTTTAATTGGTGAAACAATTAATCTCTATCATGATCTGTATGAAAATACACAAGAAATTAAGGTAATATCAATGATAGGATTAACATTATATTGTTCTTTTTTCCTAATTTTTCCATGTTGTTGTCGTTGTGATTTGTGATATATACGCCTAGCGTTTGATTTAATGAATCGAGATGTGAAATCTCAACTTAAAACACTCCATCTAGGGTAATATTTAATCAGTAATATAGTCAACCGCCAAATGCCGTGATACGACCAAAGGTGGATTTTTGGTTTCTTGTAAGCACGATGAACAATTGTGGCATCTAGTTTCGGTATCGTGACCCAATGTAGGTCAGTAAGCGTAGTTTCGAGCCAATGATTTTATCCAGTTGATGCCGGGATGGCCGCTGTGTAATTGTTCCAGAACCTTTCGGCGCAATGTTTTTGGAACTGTTCTATCACCGAACGTAACACATGAGTCGACAATCATAAGTCCCGCCGGCGAAAATGTTGTGGCAGTTCTCCTTGAAAATGACGGTTTGGTCAGGTGGTGAGAAGATAACCCCTAAATTCTCTTAATATCTTATCATGTATTGTATCGGGAGCCATGTCCAGCTGTAAGCACATTTTCTTCGTTTATGTGAGCCGGCAGTGTTAAAAGCTATTGTTACTTTGGCTGTTCGCAGAATAAATCCTTTAGAATATTCTTTCGGTTGTTGAAGGCATTTTCGGATTTTACGATGACTTTCTTTATCCCCTTTTCTAGAACACGTAGTATAACGATGATTTTTAAACGTACAAAACCCTTTGAAATCCCAACCGCCACGGAGCCAGCATGGAGATGATGGCTTGTCACTGTCATTGCGATAATTCCCCTCGCTAAAACCTTGTAAGACTTTTCTGTCAACTGCATTAACCTGAAGAAACCGGTTATCGTTCTCTGCCATAGAGATATCATGCTTCAAATTCAGTATTTAATTTCTGTAGGGTCATGCTGGGACAATGTTCAAGTTTGCTTATGGTACTTGTTCGGATATCCGCATTCTCGGATCAATATAGGCTATAGAAAAACACAAGACACTCAATCTCGTCTTGTCATGGAAGACAACTCGAACCTCTCACATTCTCGGTTCACCCAGCCATTTGCTGGTTATCTGCTCGTTATCTCCAAGCCTTGGTAACGGATATTAAAAAGAGATGACTGTTCTCCAAAGATTTGAGACATGGTTTTAATTGTTTCATCAAAACTAAAGTCCAGTAGGTTCTTTAGAAGAATGAAGTTACTATAGTGTTCATGTTCTGTAGTTCCAGGTTTCTTAAAATTATTCTGACTTTTGAAGCGTCACCCAGTCTCCAGAGATCAATATGGAACAGGTCTTCATATTTCTTGAACCATGACTCAAAACTAAAACCTGCTAGGTCATCAAAGTTAAATTCATGGTTGACATTCATGACTGAATCAGTATGTGTTACTAGAAGCGAGGAACCTATACATTTTATGCATAAGAGCTTCCATGAATCTTATTTGAGACTGTTCAAACCTTTTCTCCTGACGCTCTATATAGGCTTCTAGTTTTTCAAAAGAAATGTTCATTGTAGTTTTTTCCGTCGCTACTGACAAATCGTCTGATGGAATTCTCGAATCGGTTTCCTATGTTCTTCTAGTAACCCTAGACTAAATCTACACGACAACTTGAACACAAGAGTAAAAGTACAAAGTGTGAAACGAACGCTTTACTTCAAGGCTGGTCTATGTACACTTTATGAATTAATTAATATATTCATTTGTGTTTTGTACATTTGTGAAAGTCATCAAACTTCAGTCACATTTTAAATCCCATCTTTTCTTTATTTGTTCATTTATTTATTAAGGCTTTAAGCGCTGAAATTGTAAAGACAATCCGAGATATAATTAGTCTTAACCCTGTGTATCGGTAAGTTCTAATATAATTAATATTTCATCTTTAAAGTTTTTGGTTGAACCACGTATTGCGTATACCGATTACCACAACGCACAATCCTGACTAGTGTAGGGGATGGTTGGAAGAAAGTTAGGGGCGGCCAAACCAAAACGTGGCATCAGTCATTGAAGTCACTAACTTCTAGTGTGAGCCATGTTCGTGGTAGATGCAGATTGCTTGGTTGAGGTCCGCGTGACTATCGTAGTCAATGGTTGGAGACTTTGTAATATGGCTCAGAATCGATCACAGTGGTTTCGGTGCATACACTCTCTGTCTTCCCTTAAACTATGAGATTAAAATCATTTCATATTTTTCTTTCTACCAACTAATTTTTCTTCCTGTACTATATATATCCTTTTGTGCAATCTCTCATTTATATATTACCACCTCTGAATGAACTACTTTTATGAATCCGGTGTTCATCTTGTGCTAATGAGGTGTGAGAACTTGGACCGATATACATATGTGCCTAATCCTACGCTGTAGCTGACTGACTGTCAGCGACTTATTTACATGTAGAAACAAATGAATAATAGATGGTTCTACAATTGCTCATAATTAGTTTAAGTTAAGCTCACAATAATAAGAGACCAGAAACCCCCGTCCGGTTCACAGAACAAATATCAAAATAAGCTTAGGAATCCGTCTTAGCAATAAAGATTTGAGTTTGCATCACGAACTGACGTCGGCTGTAATTCAGGGATCCTAAAATACATATCCTAGATTCTATTTTTTAACGTGACAAGTAAGCCATCATATATTTCTGTTTCCTGATTGACTAAACAAAGTATGGTCTCAGTTTTATACTTGACGTTTGCTGAGTAAAAAATAAACACTAATTATTGAGATGACGAACTGACTAATGTTGGATCACCATTACAAACCTGAGAAAACTGGATGACCGTTTTGTCCTTGCATAGGACCTTTCAGCAGTACTAATTATTTGTAAATAGTATAGTCGTAATACAGGAAGTTTACACCTTGCTTAGCCGGTTTCGATTTGGTCAGCCCTTACATTAAAAATCATACTTCAAGTTCGAATATATAAACTACATAGATTTTGTATCATTTTGCTCATTGTTATTTTGTTCTAACAAATTCTTTTCATTTTTCCAATTAAACAGAGAAAATGTTCTTGCGATGCTCCAAGCTGGACAACGTGTTGCTGATAATCCTGTATACCTCAGCGATTTAGGTAAGTGTATATATATGTATTATCTAGCAGTATTCAATGGTTTATTCCTTGATATATGGCGCATTGATTCAACAATTACCTGTTTACAATCAATTTAAGCATAATTTTAATTATAAAAATGCTCACTCTGAAGATGTATCGGTAATGATCTAGGAAGATTGATTCAAACAAAGACAATATTGCATGACTGAAATATGGCTGTACAATTAACAGTGACTGTCTTCTAGTTTTTCTATTTCTCAATTCGAACACGACTCTAATTTATCCTGTTTTACTCACTTTTTGTTTATTTATTTATTTATTTAAATACATAAACATAGGTACAAGAAGGCACCAAACAGATATGCGCCACATAAATCATTCGATTTGTTTGAGTGGTGGAATACTGCCAGAGTGCCCAAACAGAAGCAGGTGGTTTTCTTATGGGGCCACACCCAGAGCCTTCGACCTGAAGGTCTGATCCACAAGGCAGCGGAGCATCGTAAGGAGATGCAGTCCCATGGTAGCAGGTGACCAACGATTGGTTCATATGCCATTTGTTCCATCAGGGTACTGGAACCCATGTGCACCATTGGTTTGGAATCAGGGTTTTACGACTCCCCTAGGTGAAGTCTACATGTCCACCAACCCGGTTAAAGCTCCGGACATTCGCTTTTCGCTCTCTCGATTTTGTAAACAGCACTCGTGGTGCGAGAAGGCAGTGAATAGGACTTCCCTGGTAGAGGCTATATATGCGTGGTCATTTGAGAGCATTTGGGGGCGCTCACTAGATTTAGTTGATTGTAGTAGCCTATTTTTATTCGTGAAATGCAAATTTATCTTCTGGGAGGACCAGGTGAAACTTGTGCGAATTGGAAACGAGAGCAGCTTTAAATCCTGACTACTGAGGACACCTTCAGAGATCATTTTTAACAAAGGAGGCGGACACGAGACAAGTGTATAAGCACAAATTGAGAAGAATTTGAAGCGGGCATACACGCTCTTAGTTCCGTAAAATAAATTTTTGTAACCTTCATTTGTCGTGCTTTTAAGTGCTATGGTAGGCTACGTATCTAGCAACCTTGATACATCCTAGAGGTAATATATTTCCTTTTTTAATCCGTAATTAAAAACTGATTTCACAACACGAACTGACTTTGCTTAAAATATCGCTAATTGACTGCATTTATAAATGTAAAACACCGCACGTCAACTGATTGGTCTGGAGTTAATCTTATGGTAAAGCTTAAAGGTCCTGGGTTCGATCCCCGATTGGGTTGTGATCGTGAATTCCTGAGGATTCCCATGCATAAACAAAATAACTGCCCAGTGCCTTTTAGGTTTGAATAATTGTTTAACCAATTCAGATCTAACCATCTCTACAATACCTTACAATAATTCACCCGTGTACCTTTTACTTGTCGATTGTTTTTTTTTAATTGAATAGGAGCCGCAATGTGTAGTGCCGGTGATACAGAAGAATTACAAGCAGTTTTAGAAGAAATGAATATTCATAAACGTCTTCGATTATCATTAAATTTAGTTAAAAAAGAATATGAATTAGGTCGACTTCAACAACAAATAGGTCGTGAAGTTGAAGAGAAAGTTAAACAACAACACAGACGTTATATGCTTTCAGAACAATTGAAAGTAATTAAAAAAGAACTAGGTTTAGAGAAAGATGATAAAGATACAATTGTTGAAAAGTTTCGTATGCGTTTAAAGGTGAGTGAATGATTAAGCAGAACATTCTTTTCTATTTTATATCATTAGTATTGATATTCAAGACTGAATTCCAGTTGGTGTTTGCTGGCATCCTGTGTGAATTGCCTCGATAATATGACCATTATTTTACAATAAATGAACTTGAGCTACTTGTGGAGTCCAGAATGCGCGTTTCGTCCTCTTTGGGATTCAACAGGCTAATTCAAAATCTTACTAATAATCATTTAGATATCATACATTTTAGACAATTTAGTGTTTATCTGGACTCAGTAGTTCAATGGATAACATGTTGCATATTTAAAACTAAAGGTATTGGATTTCAATCTCAATCTGAAAAACAACACTAAGATTCAAGGAAATACAGCTGACGAGTAGTTGATGAAGTGAGAAATATTTTTTGAATTCCATTACCAGCCAAAATTCATCTCTTTGAGTGTGAGACTGAAGTTTATCGATTCAATTCGCAGTTTTGGGGATCGTCGATGCTCACTGCTACGGAGTATCATACTAGGCTGAAATAGTTATCTAGTACTTCCAGGTTTTCAATAGTTGTCTAACTTAAATCAGTTTGCTATTCCAATGATCCTTAAATTAACTTTGTTTAAGGCTATTCTGTAAAATCGATATACAATTTTCTGACTGACTATTCATAACATCTACAATGTTTATTACATATATTGTATTCAGCACTTTTGAGCATTCAGTATATGAATGCTTTATATTAGACCTTAGCTTTTATTAGAGATTTCATTTTAAGCCTTGATTTATGAAATTTCACAGGTTGAAATCATTAGTCGATTGAAGCTAGACCACCATGGAAAACCTGGAAGCACTGAACGGCCGTTTTGTCCTAGTATGAGACCCCTCAGCAATGCGCATCCACGAACCCGCCCCCCGCGGGGCTCGAACTCGGGACCTACTGGCTTCGCGCGCGAGCACTTAACCACTAGACCACTGAGCCGGCATTCAACGGTGTTAGTGTCTAACTTCAACCAATCCACGAAGTTGCGCCACCGTACACCATTGTCTTCAGTGAGCTGATATCTCACAACAGACCTGGTTAAACTCCACTGGTAACGGCTTCTCACTAGAACTCCAGGAGGTTCTCCTGAAGTCGGTCACTAGTGAGCAGTTGATTATTATCAGAATGAGTTTTGTGGAGATTTTTAGGAAATTTCATTTGAGATATTGAGCTGCATTCACTGCTCTGAACAATTTCATAACAGATAGTTGAGAATAACTCCAATCTGTCAACTTCCCACTGAAACTTGATACGTCTGGTATATAAACATTCGTTGTTAACTTCCTAACCTCTTCCTTTATCCTCTTAAACAACTCTTACACGTAAGCCTGAACAATAGAGAAAAGATGCGAATTATGAGTGAAAGCTTTATGGTAAAGTTGATCTATGCACAGAAAATAGAGTTTATCTATGAGTTTTGAGATGACAGTTGTGGAAACATACTAAATATGGTAACAAAATAAGTAATTATCCAATCAAAGTGTGACTTATAATCCTTTCAGTCAGTCTTCAGTGCTGTTAGAAGTACAAAAGTGATCATCACTTCCCAGTTTCCTACACCGTGGAAGGGTTCTTCTAGAAGTACCTGAAAAAGAAATTGGGTTAAAGTTGGTTCATATGATCTGAGAGCGTGACCGCAGTGCACAAGGGGTAAGGATTATTTGGTGACTCTCAAAAAAAACAATCTAACGTAATTCATACTTAAGGTTACCAGTTGATAAGATACAATTGTCTTTCCGTTCTGTGACGTATTGCAACTAATCTCATCTCGATTGCATCAATCATCACAGTTCATAGATCTTCTAAATTTTCCATTACTTCTTATCACTGTCGACGAATATAGATGTGATAGCCTACACACACACACACAAACATAGAACTCTGTTACAACCAGTTAATTTTTGTTTGTTTCTTCTGGTTTCCTTCAGGATTTAACTGTTCCATCTGGTGTTATGGAAGTGATCGATGAAGAATTGAATAAATTAAGCGTTTTAGATAATCACTCTTCAGAATTCAAGTCAGTAATTTTATTGTGAATTAGTTTTTCTTTTAAAAAAAATCATTTTCAAACTATAATCAGTCAGTCAGCTACAACGTAAGATCAAGCATATAAATACATCGGTCAAAGTTGCCATACCGCATTAGCGCAACAAGATGAACACCGGATTCATAGAAGTAATTAATTCAGCGGTGGTGGTAATATATAAAAGAAAGATTGCATATAAAGATGGTTAGATTTAAAGGTTTGCATCACGAAATGACATCAGCTAAAATGCCAAAGCGTTGTTTAATCAAATGAATGAGTAAATTTTGCGTCGAAATCTGATTGATTTGTCTATAAGTAGTAGTTGCTTCAATTATAGTAATGTATAAATGAAAGATTGTATATAACGACATTGTACAGGAAGAAAAATTAGTTGGTAGAAAGAAAGATATGAAGTGATTTTAATCTCATAGTTTAAGGGAAGATAAAGACTGTATACACATATGCCATTGTGATCGATTCTGAGCCATGTCACCCAGAGTCTCCAACCATCGGTTACGACAGTCACATGGACCACAACTAAATAGTCTGCATCTACCACGAACATGGCTCACACTAGAAGTTAGTGACTTCAATGACTGATGCCATGTTTTGGTTTGGCCGCCCCTAACTATCTTCCAACCATCCGAAACACCATTTACCATTGCGCGTTGTGGTAATCGGTGTTCAGGCATACGTAACATGTGGCACAACTATCTCAGTCGATGAAGATTCACAACCTCATCAACTGATTTACCGTCATTCCCTAATACTCTGTTTCCAAACTTACTATCACTTACCCGGTGATCCCAGCTGATGCGAGAAATATTTCTAAGATATCTGTGATCAAATGCTAGTAACTTATGAGTATCTTCAACTCTTGATGGCCACGTTTCACAGCCGTACTGTAAGACAGAACGAACTGCTGCGAAGTATAATCGTCCCTTAATTGATAGACGGATCTCTCAAACTATAATATTAACATTTTAATGTAATAAACCATAATTAACACTAATTAAGTCTATAGACCTCTAATTTTCCTTTTTTCTTTAGAATATATTGTTTGATTTTGATACTGATATGCACGCTTTCTGTGTTCCTTGAAAAATATAGTACTACTCAGGTCCCCAAACCAAACAGGTTATGTTTTAAGGGGCGCTGATCTATCTTTTCGCTTAAATGTCTCATGCATAAGTCATTGTAGCAACATTATGAAATTTAGTCTCATCATAGCCATCTACTGGAGTCGGCTCCAAGGATCGTGAAGCCCATTTACATCACTAGTCTCAAGTCAGAGTCTTTAAATTCGATAAGATATTCGAATTTTTCCCCTCGATCTCGATTGATCATTGTTGACGTTTAACCCTTTTATTATCTGCATCTTTATTTTGATTATATCTCCCAAGAATCAAATGCACTTAATGACAGATTATGAGTTAATAATAATCCATCGAGATCAAGGTTGACAGGACAAGCTATTAATCATATGTAGAGAAATTCAGATGCTTCACTTCTAACTGAAGTTTGTGTCGATGATGTTGTTCAGCAGAACAATGAATGTTTCACGGTGAAACTATTCAGCTCAATAAGTAAAACTCCACTAATTTAATAAATGTATCATGTGTTATTCCTACTTTAATTATTTTCCTTTTATTTTTCTTTCGCTGGTCGGGGGGAATACACATGATACGTTCTTCAGTGTAACACGTAATTATTTGGATTGGTTAACTGCACTACCTTGGGGTGTAACAAGTGAAGAACATTTAGATATTGGACAAGCAAAGAAAATTTTAGATGAAGATCATTATGGAATGGATGATGTGAAAAAACGTATCCTGGTAATTCTTTTGAATATAACATGTTCACTCTAATCTTTCATTTGTATGATAGACTATATATATATTCCTTTTAGCTTATTCCTCAGATGTTACTAAGGGTATAAGGTTGGTTGTCACTTCCTAGTTGTCCACGTCGTAGAAGATTACTTCATGATGAACCTCTAAAATAAACTAAGTTAGGTAACCGGGAATTTCAAGGACTAACTCCTTGATATCAATTTCAGAACCTTTTCTTCATTGACTTTTATATGTTAGCTCTGAACTTTTCAGACCTTCCAACCGGCAACGGAAATCAATGGACCAACGTAAGGTGTGTTATTTCTAGATGCAAACTTTTCCAACTATTTGCTTCTATTGTGAAAAAGTGACATTGTTGGAAATCCTGGTTGATGAAAAAAATCGGTCCTTCCAGAAAAGCTCTTGTTCAAAACAGATTATCTGGTCAATTTATAAATAATAATAAACATGTGATTTGGAAGATAAAACTTCATTTCCTGAATTTGGTCAAGCAACGGGGAGTTACATTAAAATCAAGAGCCGATTTAAATTATACAACTATTTAAAACCTGAATGCACTGGATGGCCGTCTTACCTCAGTATTGAACTCCTCAGCAGAGCCCACTTACGATTCTCCATGCGGGAATTGAACTCATGACCTACGCTGTTGCGTGCGATTCCCTAACCTCTAGACCATTAGGCCTAAATTCTGTAGTGTTCATGTCCAACGTTAATCAATCCATTTCGCGACCATCTTCAATTGTTTTCGGTGGGTAACTACCTCACACTCGACACACTTTAGCTCCACTGATCACGGCTTCTCTCTCGAAGCTAGTCACTAGTGTTCACATGATAATTGTCGGTATGGGGTTCCGGATAAATTGATAAATTTCATTTTTTCGGGGTTTAGTTGTGTGGAGGTTAGGTGTTCGCGCACGAGATCGAAGGTCCTTGGTTTGATTTCAGCATGAGGGGTTGTGGATGCACATTACTGAAGCTCAAGATATATTTACTGTAGTTGATATTAATCTACATGGTGTTGGCCGAACATGTATAAAGTTATTTAGTTCACTAGTAAAAAAAAAAGTTTTCGGGCCAGCGAAATTAAGTGAAAGAGTGAAAGATCATGACGTAATTGAGTGCCAGAAAAATGCAAATTGTTATGACTGGTAAGAAGAAAAGGCAACAATTACTTAATAGCAATAATAATAATGGTCGTTAAAATGGTACAAAGAGACTTTATTATTTGGATGGTTAAACTAATATGGCAACCATACGTTTCAATAAGTGATTTTTATTGTGTAATATTATTCTATCAATTTATTACTTACAAAAACCGTACCAGGATTTATTAATTGACTCTTATCCATGATACGTCTTTTTATATAAAGCCACTCATTATCAAATTCTTTCGTTTATGCTCCGATCTTCTCCTAAATCATAATACAATCCTGGTATTTTGTAGCATAGATGCTGCTATAGGTTCACAGGTAAATAAGTGACAACCACCCTGGAGGTGGTGGTAACTAGTTGGCATCTTTTATCTACTTATATTCAACTTGTTGATTAGGCTTTTCTTGTCGCATGTATGGGATAATCAAATTAATATTCTTATTAGTTAGTACACAATTCTAACCGCTAGTCGATATGTATCAATGCTATGGTTAGATTTGATAGTATCAAATAGGTTGTGCATTGGATAGAAAGTTAATAATAGATATATTTTTTGTTATATCCCAATGAGTAGAAAAATTGTATTTCTGACAATGTTTCGTGAGCCACTTCTTCAGAGTAAATGAATGGTCAGTTATTTGTTTCTTCTGAAGAAGTGGCCTACACTAAGTCACGAAACGCTAGTTAATAGTTATTTCTATGCATATTAACATCATCCTATTTGAGTCAAAGTTTAACAAGTAACGTGTAGTTTTGGATTCGTAGCCAACTTACGCCATCTATGGCGAAGGCGAGATATCCGTCTATCAATTAAGGGACGAGTATACTTCGCAGCAGTTCGTTCTATTTTACTTTACGGCTTCGAAACGTGACCATCAAGAGTAGAAGATACTCGTAAGTTACTAGCATTTGATCACAGATATCTTAGAAATATTGCTCTCATCTGCTGAGATCACTGGATAAGTAATAGTGTGGTTAGAAACAGGGTGTTAGGGAATGATGATGGTAAATCAGTTGATGAGGTTGTGAATCTTCATCGACTGAGATAGTTGTGCCACATGTTACGTATGCCTTTTTTTTCTTCTGTTTATTATGGAAGATTATTCCTTATCTATCGTCTTGTTTTATTTTTGTTTTCTCCGGAAATGACCTCTTCTTCTGTATTATGTTTTCTTTTATAGGAATTCATTGCTGTTAGTCAATTGAAAGGTTCAACACAAGGCAAAATTTTATGTTTTTGCGGTCCACCTGGAGTTGGTAAAACCAGTATAGCTAATTCAATAGCTCGTGCATTAAATAGAAAAGTTCGTCTTATTCTTTTCTTGATTTATTATTATTAGTAGCAGTACTATTGGTAGTATTAGTATTAGTATTATTAGTACTAACATTATCAGTATTAGCATTATTATTAGTAGTATTAGTGATAGTATTATTATTAGTAGTAGTATTAGTATTGGTGGTAGTATTATTATTGGTAGTAGTATTATTATTAGTAGTATTATTATTAGTATTATTATTAGCTTTATTCAATATCACGTATTCTTGGTACAATATAGAATTCTCAGCACAAAGTACTTTAACAAGTTTCCAGTTGTTACTTCTTGATCGATGCTGACGATAAATATTGAGTGGTCGTCAGTTAGATATTAGCAGTTTCAGAAATCGACATCTGAATGGTGGTCATTCTTTTTCAATGCATATTGCCAGCCACCAGGATGCCTCTAATGGGTGTACATTTTTGGAACTTGTACACCGAAATGTCATGAGTTTTTTTCTTCATAAACGTACTTGAATAGGTTATGTGTTTAATTGAAATGATGATGTGTTAAAACAAACAAAACAAACAGATAACTTGTTAAAATATTTAAATGACAGGAACAGGTAGCTCAGATATTCAAACAGGAAGTTAAATTTGTATGTATGATAATATTGTGAGATATGATAGCTCAGATAAAAATAGTTCAAGTCGGCTGGATAATATGACCTCCTATTATTCTTGTCCTACGCAACTCATCATTGTACGTCAACATATTGGCAGGTTCGTTATTTATACATATATCCCTAATACTACAGCCAATGAAAGTTCATAGCCTCCACTAGCCTACATTTTAAATTCAACATTACTCTATCTTATGATTCCACCGTATTCATTATCTGTTCACTAACATAAAATATTATCTCTTTCTCTCTCTCTCTCTCTCCATTATTTTTCTTTCTATAGTATTTTCGTTTTTCTGTCGGTGGAATGTCTGATGTATCCGAAATCAAAGGTCATAGACGTACTTATGTTGGTGCTATGCCTGGGAAAATTATTCAATGTCTTAAAAAAACTAAAACTGAAAATCCACTCATTTTAATCGATGAAGTATGTTTTCTTTTTTCATTCATGTTTTATATATCTATACATGTACATATAATACTATTTATACATATGAATACTTGGTAACGAATGCTCTACGTATCTAATTAATGATTATGGGCAAACTATGGTGAATAGAATTAGTTAGAAATATCCATGGGAGTGGGCAAAAAAAACATGAAATGATTTCAAAATATCTTGAAGGAGGGTGGGTCGGTTCGATGTAACACAACCAGGTCTGTTGTGAGATATCAGCTCACTGAAGACAATGGTGTTCGGTGGCGCAACTTCGTGGATTGGTTGAAGTTAGACATTAACACCGTTGGATACCGGCTCAGTGGTCTAATGGTTAAGTGCTCGCGCGTGAAGCCAGTAGGGTTCGAATCCCGCGGAGGGGCGGGTTCGTGGATGCGCACTGCTGAGGAGTCCCATACTAGGACGAAACGGCCGTCCAGTGCTTCCAGGTTTTCGATGGTGGTCTAGCTTCAACTGACTCATGATTTCAACCTGTGAAATTATATACAACTTCATTAAAGTAACATTTCTACCTAGTCTCCTAGCAATTATGAATATGACAAATATTATATCCAGAAGGTTGTTCTTGATATACCGCATATAACGTGAGTACTAGAACGCTAGAACCCTTCCAAGTCGCAATGAGAAGACAAAAGACTAATGTAAGGAATATTATTCCCAGACAGGGTCATTTATAGTACAAAATTGTCAGGTATTTATAGTTTTTAGTAAGAATGAAATCATCATTACAGTCTTCCAATCTGCAGACAGGGGATTATTAGCATTGTCCAATCGGGAAGCTACACGTGGGAATTCTAGAATATTCTTTCAAATCGTGATTGGATAGGATATCTTCGGCTCCTTCTGAACCTCCTACAGCTTTCTCGAGTTCACCCGTGGTCCGTCGTCACAATAAAAATAATAAAGACATTTTATTGTACTCTCTATCAACGATGATACCATGTGGAATAATGGATAAGTATGTATGGAAATATATTGCTCTGTTCTTGAGAATTAGACACTTAGTTTCCAAACTTCAAATCGTCAAAAAAAGCTTTCGTGTGACTTAAAAATTTACTAGAAAAAACCAATAATAAAAACAATACTTTTTCCTTTGATTTTCTGGGAAATATTCTGATGTATTGTGATAATCAAAGATCGGTTATATGATAAGTGCTTGTGATTAACTAGGGAATAACTCATATTTTTAAGCGATAAGGCATACATCATTACACTCAAAATGCCCTAGTACGGCCGAGGGTGGAGAGAGTTAGCTCTCTCTCTCGAAATGCTCTCACATGGCCACGCGTATACAGCCACTGCCAGGGAAGTCTTACTCACTGCCTTCTCACACTACGGGTGTTGTTTACGAAATTGAGAAGACGAAAAGCGAATGTCCGGCGATTTAACCGGGTTGGTGGATACGGATGATTCGCCTAGTGGGGTTGAAAACCCTGATTCTTAGCCAATGGTGCACATGCGCTCCAGGATCCTGAAGGAACAAATGGAGTACGAACCGACTATTGGTCACCGGTTATCATGGGACTACATCTAAAGTTTCTCCGCTGCCTTGCGGATCAGACCTTTAGTTCGGAAGCTCTAGTTGTGTGGCCTCCTGAGAAAACAACCTGCTTTGGTCGGTGCAGCCCACACACAAATCTGTGACTTTTGTGACGCATATGTATTCGGTGCCCCACTGTACCAATATTTATGTGTCCAAATATAGAATAAGTAAGTTTGGTGCTTTAATTTTCGAAAGGGACAAACATATTTATATAAATGAGTATATATTCATTCCGATTTTATTTAGTCAATCAACTTTTTCTCCCATTCTCAGTCTTTTCTTTCGAGTGACCGATTAGGATTGTGTATAAAAAGATTGTATATCAGCATCAAAATTGGATACCGTACGATACGTACAACTTCCACAATAAATCAGTTTAGGTTTGATTTTTCCATCATTTTAATTATTGTCATCGTTTCATGTCTATTGTATTTCTATACATTTTATAGATTGATAAATTAGGTCGTGGATGGCAAGGTGATCCAGCTAGTGCTTTATTAGAATTACTTGATCCAGAACAAAATGTTAATTTCCTTGATCATTATCTTGATGTTACAGTAGATTTAAGTCGTGTATTATTCATTACAACAGCAAATCAATTAGATACAATTCCAGAACCATTAAGAGATCGTATGGAAGTGATTGAAGTATCCGGTTATGTTGAAGAAGAAAAATTAGCCATTGCAAAAGTGAGTTGTTTTATGCATTACAAAAATCATTTAAAATTATACTACAGTAATTCATAAAATGCATAAACTAAATTAATATGGTAGTTAGTCATATTTATAACAAGTGACATATCATATTGTACTTGGACTATACACCTTTCTTAATTGGTCCAGTTTTAACTAATAAATAGTTAGACTTGATTATAAGCTCAACTCTAAGCGTGGGCCGGGTCAACTAGTTGCTGAACTTGAAGTAAGTAGATCGGGGTTTGAGTTTGAGAATTAATGACGGAAAGTGGTACTTCCTAATCACTAAGCAACCGCTTTACTTAAAGCTAATTAATGACTACTAGATCACGAAAATGTTCCTATACAAACAATAATGATTGTTTATGTGTTTCCAGTCAGTATCTAGTATTATCCTCTCTGATCTTCAAACGCGTACCCTCATTTGATATCCTTTCGTTACGAAAATTTAAAATAGTATTGTGGGAATACCTGCAACGGGACAATACAATGATAATGAAATATAAAACGATGAAGTTAAATGGAGTTGACTTATGCAAGTATCCAGTAACATCTTGAACTATTGGGATACTATTGTAGTGTCGCAAACGAGGACGGGGGGTGAGCACTATGTGAAGGGGATACAATTGATGTATTTAAACAAAGCTTTTATCAGGAAATTTCATAGATTAGACAAACTAGTCCTTTAAATTGGTTGACTTTTGTGTTTAAATACTAAAGGTGTGAAGTACTGTGTTGAACAAGTAGATGACAGAACAGTTCACTAAATGATATTAAGTAGTCGTTTAGTTATACGGAACATAGAACTCGACCCATATGTTTGCATCCAGTTACAAACAATGAGTTTCTCAATCAAATAACAATAATTTATTCGGATTGATTTTTTTGGAAAACAGATGATCATGAAAGAATAAAAATAATCAGAATTCAGTGAAGAGAATTTTCTTTTCAACGAACTTATTTACTTAAGCTGTACATTCGTATTTAGACTTATCTGGTAAACGTTTAAGTCTATAGAAGGACTATGGTTTCAACAATTTGATTTGTCACTTAAATCATGAACTGATCATCATTGAAAACCTTGAAGCACTGAACGGCCTCTTTGTTCTATATTAGATTCCTCAGTAATCTGCATCCATGATCCTGCTTGTGGACTCGAACCCAATACTTCCTCTAGACCACTGAATCCGCATCACACGGTGTACCTACCTAACTTCAATCAATCCATGACCATCTCCCCTTGTCTTCAGTAGGTGACTGCGTTACACTGAACACATATTAGCTCCATTGGATATCGGTTCAGTGATCTGGAGATTAAGTGTACTTGTACGAAACTGAAGGTCCCAGATTCAACTTCCAATCACGGGATCGTGGACATGTACTGCTGAGGAATCCTACTCATTGCTTGGAGGTTTTCAGTGGTAGTCTAATTTATATCGATGCAGGATTTCAATGAAATTCAACAATTTTCACATTTCTATACTTAAATTTGATTTGTGTTTAATCAACAACTATTGATCCTATTCATTATCATATTCCAATAATATTGCTGTTCGTTGAAATGATATTTGTTTGGTTACAATTCTTGGAGATGAGGATTTACGCTGAAATACTTTTGTCCATTGAATATATTCATGAAATCTGGAACTTGGCAGAATTTCAAATTAATTAAATATTCGATTGTATTTAGAAACATTTTGCTAACCTTTTAAGTAGTAACTTACAGTAAGATATAATCTATCCCTGTGTATGAAGTTTCTATGGACAATTATACTCAGAAGTGATCACTCCAATTATAACAGGTAGCCTTAATGTTATAATGAATAATCTGTTACCGATCAAAGTAGAGGATACTAGATCCATTTGTCTATTCCCAGAAGCTAACATACCAACAGACTCTTGGTCAAGTTCACTTTTGAATACATGAAGAATCGGGGGGGGGGAGAATATGTATATTTTTAAAATGTATTATACGTAATAAGTAAACTGACATTACATTATATCCAACTGTATCGGTCTAAGGTTACTTCTCTATAGTAATATAAGAATATCATTATTGTTATGCAAATAAACAAGTCTTTTATTACTTTCATAATCTCTAAGTTGAATCGTTTAAATATGAAATCTTGGTGTATAGTTCTGGACAATATCACGTAATGTAATCACTGTTTACAAGACACTGCTAGAACTTCATCATTTTAAACTTTCTTTGTTTATATCCACATAGCGTTATCTTCTTCCATTGGCTACTCGAAATTGTGGTCTAGATGATAATCGTCTTTTAATTGATGATAATGCAATAAAACGTTTAATTAAACAATATTGTCGTGAAAGTGGTGTACGTAATCTACAAAAGCATATTGAAAAAGTAAGTCTAATCGATATATAATAATTAGTTTAATTATAATTTAAAGTTATATGAAGTTCCAAATTCGAATCCTACTTGTTTCATCTACTTTAAGTAGTAGTAGTAGTAGCAGTATTAGTTATTAAATTTGAAATGTGACTAAAAGCTAAGTATATAGATTTACGATGGAGTTTTGTTCTCTGAACTGGATGGTTTGGTCGTGGAACAATGAAAGCTCCACGACCAAACCATCCAGCTCAGAGAACAAAACTCCATCAAAATCATCCATCTGAGCTACAAATCTTCTCCACCATCTCATATAGATTTACACCTAGTAAATCGATTGATTGTGATGACTAGTGAATAATGGACTGGTTGTGGATGGAACAATAATCACTCTCGTCATTAAATGACTACAAGTTAACTGTTTATAACATTCTGTTCAGCTAATTCTCTAAATATCAAATATAGAATATCAGCCTTCAACCACAATATCGTCAATTATTGAAATTAGTATCAATTGTATTTGTTGTGGTGATCCAGAAAACTTCTCGCAAAAGACAAGAAAGGATCAGGAAAACACGAAGATGCATTTCATCCAATCAGCGTTCACTTGGAGTTTAGCCAGAAACATCGAAAAAGTGAAAAGGCACATGTAGAGTTTCTGATTGGGTTAATTGCTATACTGTTACTATGTTTTAGTAGCACTCCGGAATTTTCGAGAAACCCGAGGGCATCTAAAATACTATAAAAACCCTATATTTTCTGTATTAAAACAAATCATTGGAGTAAAGTGCTTCTCACATATTTTGCGCCTTTTCTCTCGTGTTCAGGTCGCTGTGTAGTTCTAGCTTGAGGGTTACGAGAATAGCTTATCAGTATCTTAACATCAGACATTCGTAGAATTTCATTTCAAGCTCTTTTCCATAACTCAGCATTAAAATGTAACACTCTGAAGCCGTATTATACGGGTTTGAATCGTTCAAGGAGTATTAGTTCCATTGAAAGTTTAAGAATGCTTTGTTTATGAATTTTAACTTGCAGGAAACTTAGGTCATGTAGAACTTCTTGTCGACTACCTCCAACTATCTGATATTGTCTAAATTATATAAGTATTCATAATGGGTTTTTTCTGCGTATCGTAACTGTTAGTTACATGAGATGTGAAATATTCTATTTTCAATGTCTAATTTTTTAAGTGTACAAGAATCCATGTTGTCACTTTCCCGATCCTGTTTTGTCGCATGATTTAGTCTGTGGTAATAGAAACACTGGAAGCAGTTATTATTTAATTTGCTTGTTGGTTGGGATGCTAGGTAAGCGTTCAAATCGAAGCAGTTGGTTCTCTTAGAGAGCCACTCCCTAAGCCTTTGACTCAAAGGTCTAATTTACAAGGCAGTGGAGCAACATTAGAAGATGCAGTTCTATGGTAGCTGGTGAACAACAATAGGTTCATACGTCATTTATTCCCTCAGGATCATGAAGCCTATATGCACTATTGTTCTGGAATCAGGGTTTTCCAATTCCCCTTAGTAAATGCTTCTTACCCATTGACCTGGTTTAAGTCCCCACTAGACATGTGCTTTTCACCCTCTCAATTTCATAAATAACAGCACTTCTGCGGAAAGCAATGTGTAGAACTTGTTTGTCAATGGCTATATACGCATGGTCATATGAGAACATTCTAGAGAGCGAGAGCGGACTCTTTCCGTCCTCGGCTATATCAAGGTATTTGGGGTTAGGTATTCGTAAGTGCGCTTATCTTCAAACATCTGACAGAAATTCACTACATAAAAGGTCATATGTGAAAACAGCCTGATTTTCCCTAGTTTTCTGTTTCCTCATTCCATACAAGTGTCACATAAGTATTAAGGCTAATAATTTAGATATTATATATGTTAGTCAAACTGATTCCTGTATGGTTATCATGGAATATGTTCATCCTTCCGCATAAAACTGCGACAATCAGCGATTGAAGCATATAAGATAGAATCAAATAAAATATAACTTTAACTGGGGATATCTTAGTTTAACTATCAAAATCTGATCTAACTTCTTTGAAGATCTTATTCGTCTAATGAATATCTCAATAAAAGAACTAGCAAAAGACTTTACCTTATCATGTTATATATATGCGTGTGTCTAATTGAATAAGTTCAATCATCACAAATGGCATATTCACCTTTAATTTACTTGCATTTGATCACGTAATAATGATACGTTTATCATTGTTACATCATATAGGTTTGTTCCCATACATGTACGTTGTTTAGCCAATGTTGTATCTAATACACATTTTTTGATGTAAAAGAAAAGAATTTAGCCAACATTGTTTGTTTTATTCCATGATTTCTACTGTTATAGTCACTACTTTTTCTTTGTTTTCCCAAAGTTTTATGCATTTTTTGGGTTTCTAGTGGTAGTTTCTACGTGTGTGTACATGTATGTATGTATGTGTGTGTGTGTGTGTGTTTGTGCATACACGAATTTACACACATATCACAGTAATGAATTATTGTTAGTCACGCAGTGGACTACCTTAATTTGATGATCGAGCTTTGCATATATATATATATTATGATAACTAATTCAGTTTTATATTTGCCGGAATATTCATTCCTTCAGGTTTTATTATGCTAGACAGATAGGTTGAAGAACAGTTAGACTAAAAACAATCACTTTTCATAATATAGTGAAATGGTTAGGAGAGATCGATCCTATAAAATATAGGACACTGTCTTGTCTTATGAATTTTAGTCGATAATAGTGTGATCTTTAAAGTAGGGAAGGAATACATGTAAAACATCTGTCAAAGACGATGTGTGATCTCTGTGGTTACAATTCCAGTTAATCAAGACCACATCTAATCCAGTTCCTTTTTCTGATACCTCGAAAAGATGAGTGGGTGATCAGGAAAAGACTAATCCCCATCATTTAATACTCGAAATAAACTAGCGTACTATAACTGTTAATATAAATTTAAAGACTAGGAGTGTGTTTTAGGTTTCTACATTACTTTATCTTAGATATGTCTTCAAATAATTAATTGCATATGTTGGAATCTTCAGCTTTTTTCAAACTTCTGGCGCCTGTTCAAGGCCTGGGCCTTCCATTTTCTAACTTGGCAAAGGTTGCAACTAATCGCTTTGCTTTAGACTAGTTCGAGTTGATGAATTATGAAGGCTAATTACATGTACCTATGAACTAGTCAACGTCAATGCCCCTTGTCGAGGACCATAGAACGTGAAGTAGTTGAGCACGTTAACGAACTGCATTACCTTGAAAGTCTTCTCAACTCCGATATCCTGATTCCTAACGTAATTTTTGTGTACCTATGTGATATGTGCCAAACTGTGTCATTGTATATTTTTGTCCAAAATTCTACACTTTTTTTATTGATGAGTGAGGATTAATTCTCACTGAAAAAAGTTGAACTTATTCCCTAGGCACTTAGTTGTGAGCCACTCGCGAAGTGTAAGGGCTAATTTTACTACCTGGTTGCCAAAACCTAAATAGGTGGAGAGAGGCTCGAACCTTGAACTTAACGGCTGAAAATCGTACATCTTAACCACTAATTGTCATGTTTAAAGTGGGACAATCATAGGCAGACATCATCAATATGGAGTCTGGAACCGATTAAAATGAAGTTGTTATCACCTTTTCTATTAAGAAATACATCTCTATATGTATTACATGAAGGTATAGCTTACGTGCCCTATTATTGCTTCATTTTTCATTATTCTTACACAGATTGTTCGTAAAGTTGCTTATCAATTAGTCAATGCAGAGAAAGATCCACCAATTCTAGTCAATAGTGATAACTTAACCACATATGTTGGTCAACCAATTTGGACATCAGATCGTTTGTATGATTCTATCACACCACCTGGGGTTGTTATGGGTTTAGCTTGGACATCAATGGGTGGTTCTGTTCTATATATTGAATGTACTAATAAAAAACCGAAATATTTCTACCAATCTACCAATACTACTGATTCACACAGTGATAGTAGTAGTGATTCAGAGGAAGTATCTAATAAAAAAGGTACGTTTAGCGAGTTTTTCTACTTTTAACTGATAATAATCGGTAGTATTTATTAAAGTTGAGTTGTGGCTAGTAGTAGAATTTAAGAATCTCATTTCGATTTATTTAGGACTTACAGCCGGTTTCACTGTTAATACCAACATTGTAATGCATGTAAATTCAGTCGAAGAGGCCCGGATAGGACGAAATGAGCGTCCTAAATTCCGCTACAGACTACAAATCATCCATTCAATTTTTAAATTCCTCTTCTATAGCTTCATAAAACGTGTCTACTATAGAGTCGAGTGATTCAACAAAATTCAAGCAAAACTTTGTACAGTTTCATCGTCATCGTTTTGATCTCGAAAACGTATGATGCAACGTTGATGAATGATTGCAGAACATATGTTAGCTTTATTTCCAGTTTTAAGTGAGCTAACTTTATCCATTGATTTTAACTAGATTTCTAGATGGCTTGTTCTAATCTCGTGATTCCTCAGAAATCCTCACATACAAATTTGCTAGAAGACTGTGGAACTCATGACTTTAAAATACTTTTGCGAATGAATTATGCTAAAACCATTAAGTTAATATCTAATGTTACACAATTTTAGGCTTAATCAATTAGCGTATATTATATAACCATCATTTTCAGTAGGATGTGTTGAGATTACGTCAACTTCTCAAGAGGTTGATGAAACTTCCATGATGAGTAACGTGGCCAATGTTCTCTATAGCTTTTTTGTTTCTAATCCAACCAGGTTTTCACAAAGACTAGTTTTGAAGAAATAATATTCGTATCATAAAAAAGACCTATCCTGAACACTTTTATTGTGACTGAAACTATTCAACAGCCTAGTCTTACAGGTCAGTTTTCAGAGTTCTGATTCTTTGAAAACCTTAATCGTCATTCTTGTGTATAACATGACCAATTTAAGCAAAGATGGATAGTGGCTAGCACTGGAATCCAAGACGTGCGTTTCATCCTACTTGGGACTCGTCAACTGGATGTACTTGCACCTCAGACTTGTTGATGTTCACTCTGTGACTCTAACTCAGCACCGTTCGCTTCAAACGACATGGTGTTATCTACTTAGCTACTGAATCCCAATAGTCACTTGCTCGTGCAATATGGTGAAGTTTAAATTCACTTGGTATTGTTGTTTACTTGAATCTTCCCATTGATGTTTAACACTGTAATTGACCAGTCTTTTATTGGCATAAGTGCATACTCTGCGTATTGCCTCGATATAACCAATTTAAATCAATTTCAGAATATTTTAGCTTCCCATCATTACTGTTGGTACTTTGTAACATCTGACATGTTATGAAACAGTCATTTTCAACATACTACATAGTACATTTATATGTTTATTTTGCATTTGATAAATTATCCCTTATTATCAGAAGGGGTTTTGTGGAGATTGTGGTAATTTCAACAGTTGAGATCATGAGTCAATTAAAGCTAGACCACCATGGAAAACCTGGAAGCACTGGACGGCCATTTCTTCCTATTGTGGGACCCCTCAGCAGTGCACATCCACGACCTTACCCCCTGCGAGATCCGAACACAGGACCTAATAGTTTCGCGCGCGAGCACTTAACCACTAGACCACTGAGCCGACCGGCATCCAGTGGTGTTAATGTCGAACTTCAACTAAACCACGAAATTGAGCGATACATCCACCTTTGTCTTCAATGTGTTGCTCTATTTCGTGGATTAGTTGAAGTTAGACATCAACACTGTTGGATGCCATCCGGCTCAATAGTCTGGTGATTAAGCGCTCGCGCGCGAGGCTGATAGTTCCTGGGTTCGAATCTCGCGAGGCGGGATCGTGGATGCGCACTGCTGAGGAATCCCACAATAGGACGAAACGGCCGTTCAGTGCTTCCAGGTTTTCCATGGTGGTCTAGCTTTAATTGACTCATGATCTCAACTGTTGAAATCATCCCTTGTTGTTATCCAACAATTTCTAACGAATCCGTGTGTGTTGCTTAGTCTATATACTTCTATTTTGTTTATTAATCAACTCGATCTTTCATTAAATTTTTCAAGTCTCGCTTCTCCCATTTGGGTTTTAATAGTAAAACATCTATCTTATTGTGTATGTTTCATAGGGATTTTACAAGTAACCGGAAGTTTAGGAAAAGTTATGAAAGAGTCTATATCTATCGCTCATACATTTGCTACACAATTTGCTGCTTCCGGTGCTCCATGCTTTTCTACAATTACTATTACTGATAATGATAATGCTGGTAATAATAATAATAATCAAGAACAGTGTATGCTTAATCCAACAGAATCTTCAAAAGCAGCTTTATTCCTTCAAGAATCTGATATTCACTTACATGTTCCTCAAGGTGCTACACCTAAGGTTTGTATATTATTATTAATTTATTTATTGTATTTTAAGTAAGACTGATGAGTCTGACCAATCAGATATACACTAAAAGATAAGTGTAACTTTATTTTCTGAGGGAGTGGGATATACATTTATGAGTGTACATGTTAGTCAATCAGTTAACGTAGGACCAAGCACATACATGCATCGGTTCAAGTTGCCATACCCCATTAGCACAACAAGACGAACACCGGATTCATAGACGTCAGTCAATCAGTCGGCTACAACATAGGACCAGGCACATATATGCATCGGTCCAAGTTGCCATACCTCATTAACACAACAAGATGGACACCGGATTCACAAAAGTAGTTTATTCAGAGGTGGTGGTAATATACAAAACAAAGATTGTGTATAAGGATATAATACAGGAAGAAAGAATTAGTTCGTAGAAAGTAAGATATGAAGCAATTTCAATCTCTTATTTTAAGAGAAGACAGAAAGTGTATACACCGACACCATTGTGATCAATTCTGAGCCATATCACCAAGAGTCTCCAACCATTGGTTACGATAGTCACGTGAACCCCAACCAAGTAGTCTGCATCTACCAACATGGCTCACACTAGAAGTTAGTGACTTCAAGCACTGATGCCACGTTTTGCTTTGGCCACCCCTAACTTTCTTCCAACCATCCCGAACACCGATTAGCATTGCACGTCGTGGTAATCGGTGTTCAGGCATATGTAACACGTGGCCCAACTATCTCAGTCGATGAAGATTAACAACCTCATCAACTGATTTACCATCTTCATTCCCTAATACCCTGTTTCTAACCTCACTATTACTTACCCGATGATCCCAGCAGATGCGAGCAATATTTCTAAGGCATCTGTAATCAAATACTAGTAACTTAAGAGTATCTTCTACTCTTAATGGCCATGTTTCGCTGCCGTAAATTAAAGCAGAACGGATTGCCTCACAGTGTACTCGTCCTTTTATTGATAGACGAATATCTCGCCTTCGCCATAGGTGACGTAAGTTGGCAAAAGCTAAACGAGCTTTTCGAATCCGTGCTGAGATTTCGTCAGACACCAACCCATTAGGATTGATCAGACTTCCAAGGTAAGTGAAGTTGTCAACGCGTTCGACTACTTCACTCCCTATCCTTAGTTCAGGTGTTGACGCAGACCAGTCCTGAAGCAACAACTTGCATTTAGAGGGAGAAAAGCGCATTCCAAACATTCTGGCATTGTTTCTCAGCGCTATCAAAAGATTCTGCATTTTATCAGCGTCTTCACCAAACAGGACTATGTCATCTGCGTATTCTAAGTCGATAAGTGGACCTCCTGGAAAGAGATCAATACCGGAGAATTCAGTTGACGAGAATGTTATTTCCATCAGTAAAAGCAGTTTACTCAATGATGTAATATATAGAGGAAAGATTTTATGTAAGTATATAGTACAGGAAGAAAGAATTAGTTCGTAGAAAGAAAGATATGAAGCGATTAAATCTCATAGTTTAATGGAAGACAGAGAGTGTATACACCTACACCACTGTGATCGATTCTGAGCCATGTCACCCAGAGTCTTCAACCATTGGTTACGATAGTCACGCGGACCCCAACCAAGTAGTCTGCATTTACCAACATGTATTGTTGAGCAAAAAGACATAATTCTATTTTGTGAAGACTCCGAAAAAAATAATATAATATTTTGGTCACCTTAAGTAACATTGCTAGCGTGTTTGCGATCCATTTCTCTTCCTCAAAATACGAAATGTTGCTTCAGGACTGATCGACATCAACGCCTATTCTAGTGATAGGTAGTAAAGTTGTTGAGTGCGTTAGCTACTTTAATTATCCTAGAATGTTCAGTCCTGGTGGGTTGGTTTGTGACGAAAGCTCGGTTGGCTTTTGCCAAGTTTCGTCACTTATGCTACATGTGAGATGAATGTCTACCAACGAAACGGATTGTATACTGCTCAGCAGTCAGCTGTGTTTTACTCTATGGCTGTGAAACACGGTCTATAAAAGTTAGCGACTTGCTTAGACTGGAAGTTTCTGATCATGGGTGTTTTGGAAGCATTGCTTGTGTTTCATGGAATCACGAAATAAGCATTGTTGAGGTTTAACATTGGGGTACTTGGAAAAAGTGATGAATCAGTTAACAAGGTAGTGAATCTTCATCAGTCGAGGTATTTATGATATTCGTTACGTATGCCTAACTATGGAGTCACCGATTGTTGTATTGAGCCATGTTGACAGTTGTAGACTACCTGGTTGGTGTTTGTTAGATAACCGCGATCAGGTGTTAGAGATTTTGAGTAATGTGATTCATAATCATTCACTCCTGGATTTTCAATTCTAGTATTCTTGCATATGTACCGTCTTCTTAAAGCATATTTCCACGGTTTAGTCTTTTTATTGCTGCTACTACATTATTTCGATCTGTTCTGTTACTTGTGTAACATCGGGCTAATCAGGTATGGGAGCTTCGTCTCTACCTGGTATATAATCCTTATTCGCTTTTCGGTCCATGAAGCTTCCTCCTCACTCTCACAGTTTTTTCCACTCAAGTAGTTGGTTCCGATTTGAACACAAAAAGCTTGTATGTCCGTATCAAACTAGGTTGGAGAGCAAAATATAACAGGCAGACGTTTATTGTTTCGCATTTTGTACAGTTTACAATCATACTTCTTCTGCTCACACCTTCTCCTTTGTTATTGTTATTATCCTTTGTAAATTTTCCTATTCATCATTACTAGGATGGTCCATCTGCTGGAGTAACTATGGTAACGGCTTTGTTAAGTTTAGCATGTGGTAAACCTGTTCGTCCTAATCTAGCTATGACTGGTGAAATAAGTTTAACTGGTAAAGTTCTACCAGTCGGTGGTATCAAGGAGAAAGTAATCGCAGTAAGTTATATACTTCCTCATAATATGATAATTTCTGAAATTTTATTTGAAACGATATATGTTAGTATTGATTTGACCCACAAACCGTCTTACGATCACGTGTATACAGCCACTCCAAGGAAGTTGGTTGGTGGACCCGCCATGTCCACCTAGGGGAGTTGGAAAACCCTGATTCCAAACCAGTTGTGCATATTGGCTTTAGGATCATGAGGGGGCAAATAGTGTATGGACCTATTGTTGGTCACCGGTTACTCCGATGTCGCATCTTCTAACGTTTTTCCATTGCCTTGTGGGTCAGACCTATAGATCAAAGTCTCGGGTAGTAGCCCCCTGAGAAAACGACTTGGTTCGGTTTGGGCACCCGGGAAGTATTCCAGCCCTCACACAAACCGAATGATTTGTGTGGTGCATATATATTTGATGCCCCCTTGTACCAATATTTATGTGTTTAAATAAATAAAAAGTATTGATTTGACTTTCACAACTTTCATAAGTTTGTAAATCGGTTAACGATCTAACATAGAGGATGGTGGTCACTCGATTATCAACCAAATGGTTGACCTCATGCAAATGAATAAGGTGTTGTTCTCCCTTTAAAGGAAAAAGACACCTTATTAGTGTAAAATGTAGCTTACATTTTTAGGGGACAAATATATATATGTATGTGTGAATGAGTGTACAATTGTTTTTCGATTCGGTTGGTTAATAAAACGATTTCTTGTTACTGAAGTAGCCGTTTAGGCTTTCTAATAAGAAGCTTATTTAATAGTATTAGAATCGAACACAAAGTTAAGACAGTTCTATCATTTCTTCCAATATTTCATGTGACACATGCGTTGTCCAATGAAAATGAACTAATCTTTGTGCAATAAGTAGTGTTACATCATACACGGTTACTAAACTGTGTCACTTTTAACCTTGATTTTCGTCCTAGGTAGAACTCGCCAGCATTCGGATCCTTGTCATCCAGTTGCAAAGTCTGAGACGTTATCATTAAGCTATATTAGTCACGACTGACCTGCTATAAAAGTGAAATATTTTGATTGATTGATCACTAGAGTAATGACTATTGTCATGGTTGTTTAGTACTGATCGAACCATCTCGGTTGCGTTTTCAAATGGTAGTTAGGTAGTAATAGTCAACCTCCAACCTGTCAAAACATATCAAGATTAGATTATCGAAATTTATGGCAAAACAAACCGGAATGATTATAGTAACGAGGGTAGTAAGGAAAACTTAACATTGAATATTAGTAGAGGAGATAAAAATTGGATGTAATCTACAGCACTGTAACTAATTCTGAACCATATTACCCACCATTTACAACCATTGATCACAGTTTTCTGCCTTTATGATTATATATATTTCACTGGTTGAAATCACAAGTCAATTGAAGCTAGACCACCATGGGAAACCTGGAAACACTGGACGGCCGTCTTGTCCTACTGTGGGACACCTCAGCAGTGTGCATCCACGATCCCGCACCCCGCGAGATTCGAACGCAGGACCTATCAGTCTCGCGCCAGGCGCTTAACCTACTGGACCACTGAGCCGGCATCCAGCGGTGTTAATGTCTAACTTCAACCAATCCACGAAGTTGCGCCACCGTACATCATTGTCTTCAGTGAGTTGATATCTTACAACAGACCTGGTTGAACACCACTAGTAATGACTTCTCACTTGAACTCCAGGAGTATCTCCTAAAATCAGTCACTAGTGAGCAAGTGATTATTATTATCAGAATGGGTTTTGTGGAGATTTTTAGAATTTTCAGTGGTTGAAATCATGATAGGTCATGGGTTCGAATCTCACAAGGGGGCGAGATCGTGAATGCGCAGTGCTGAGGAGTCCCATACTAGGACGAGACGTCCATCCAGTGCTTCTAGGTTTTCCATGGTGGTCCTGCTTCAATTGACTCATGATTTCAATCAGTGAAATTTCTAAAAATCTCCACAAAACCCATTCTGATTATATATATATATATATCACCTATCGTACTTCATCTCTACAGGAGACAAATGACACAGCAATATCTCATTTATTCAATTAGTTGTTAAAACATTCAACTTTCAATGAATAAGTCATAAGTTCGAATCCTATTCTGTATCATTATTCTTTTCTTTTCTTATTTATAAATAGGCTAAACGTGGTGGTATAACAACTATCATTTTACCAGAAGCAAATCGTAAAGATTATGATGATTTAGCATCGTTTATCAAAGATGATTTACAAGTTTATTTTGTTCAACATTATAAAGAAATTTTCCCAGTGGCATTTTCACAAACCTAAAAAATCGTTGATACACAATAGAAAAGGAAAAAAAAGGAGGTGTGAACTGGTTTGTTTGCCTAACTGAACATACAATAAGAAGGAAAGAGAGGGGGGGGAAATGTGCAAAACTTCATTTCTAATTTTGTATAAATAAAATTTCCCATCATAAATGAAAAAAAATTCTTTTTTTATTATAAAGAATATGGATCTATGTAACCGGGATTGTTTCTTTAAATTAGTTGATTAGTAGTTAGTTAGTTAGTTAGTTAATCCTACCCCTCTGTTCCCTCCCTTTCCCCATACAACTAAGTAGAAGAAACCAATAGGACTGTATGACAAAAGAAGTAATGTTGTGCAAAGAGTTCACAATTGGAACGTGTTAACAGTTTACTTTGTTATATTTCATATTCAAATAGAAACATTGATTCAATGATACTTTATTATATTGTGCAAATGAACACGTTAACAGTAGATACTTCTCTATCACATTTATCAATTTTGTAATCACTCAAAAGTGTTTGAAGCTATAATGAATACAGTAGTATGGGATGTGTTACTATGGCAAGTATGCGTTGCATACCTATATAGAATGTATAGACCGAGGTCTATACACTTTATAGTAGACAGATGTGATTTACCCCAAGCCATAGCCCAACTATTAATCAATTGGCTTGGAAATTATCATTTGACGATGTGTTCTCATCACGCTTATACCACCACAAACACGTTTAGTGTTGACGCATGTGCATAGGTTGCAGTACAACTATGTTCTTCATTCTGGACTACTCCTAGCAGATCTAATAGGCTTTCTCAGAAGGAAAATTTTTTTTTTCATTTTAAGTATTTGTTTTTAATTTAGAAGTAAGAGGTACTCAATAATGCAAATCAATAATTTGCACGTTCAAATTCCACTTCATCTAATTTAATCTAAACAAGTTAGCAGCCTTCAAACACACACGTAATATGTGAACTCTTAAGCTCAGTATGTAAAATCGTCTTTTAGTATTTCTCGACCTTAAGGCAGCATTCGACTCTGTTGATCGTAAGGTTCTATGGCAGTGTTCGACACTGAAAAAAGTACCAAGGAATTACATTAACCTTGGTCGAGTGAGAGCTTATGGCGAACTGTCATCAGAATTGATTACCTCAAGTGGTGTTCTTCAGAGCTGTCCACTCTCTCCATTCTTGTTTAACTTTGTCGTTGACGCGCTTTTAAAGATAACACTTTACTCATCTAAATTTCCAGGAGTTGAACTTCTACCGGGAGATTCACTTATTGACTTAGAATATGCCGATGATATGGTTCTATTTAGTGAAGACGCTGACAAAATGCAGAGTCTTCTAACCACTCCAAGCAACAATGCAAGCATGTTCGGCATGCGGTTCTTCCCCTCGAAATCCAAAACGTTGCTTCTGGATCGGGTTGCTTCGACACCTGAACTAATAGGGAGTGAAATAGTTCAGCGTGGCGACCGCTTCACTTATCTCGGTAGTCTCATGAGCCTTTGTAGTCTGGTGTGTGACGAAATCTCAGCAGGGATACAGATGACTCGACTAGCTTTTACCAACTTGCGTCATTTATGCCGTAGGAGAGATATCCGTCTATTAACCAAAGGACATGTTTACTGCATAGCAGTTCGTTCCATCCTACTTTATGGCAGTGAAACATGACCGGTAAGAGTAGAGGATATCCATAGGTTACTAGTATTCGATCATAGGTGTCTTCGAAATATTGCTCGTATATCCTGGGACCACCGAGTAAGTAACGCAGCTGTTAGGAAACGGGTACTAGGTAAGGATAGCAAATCAATTGGTGAAGTAGTGAAACTTCATCAGTTGAGATGGCTGGGACACGTGTTACGTATGCCCAACGACCGACTACCTCGACGTGCTATGTTCAGTGGTATAAGAGTAGGTTGGGAGAAAGCTAGGGGCGGCCAGACCAAAACATGGCACAAATCCATGATGTCACTGACAAGTGGACTGAGTCATGTTGGTAGGTGTAGACTACCTGGGTGGGGACCATGAGATGATAGCAACCGATGGTTAGAGACCTTTAATAACATTGGATCAAAATCGTTTGCAATGGCGCAGGTGCATCCACTCTTTGTGTTCTTCCAAATTCTAATCTCCTGAATCCTCCTTGTCTCTTTTTTTGTCTTTCCAAATTTATTTCACTGTATTATACTCCTTGAATAACATCTTCAAACCCTAATTTTTCCGATTACTGTTTATACTCTTACCGCCTCTACCACTACGGGATTCGGATGGACAACTGCATCTCTGTGTTAATGTGGTATGGTAACTCGAACTGATGTTCGTGCATACGAAGTTCTACGTTGTTACTGACTGACTAAAAATCGTCTTTGATAAATAAATTGTCATTGAAGACAACTCTATGTAGTTTCATATCAGTTAACGATTAATTTGTAACGTTATCTTTTCACCGTTACATTTGTAGCCGTAAATATCAAGATGAACAGTACATTGACTATGTTATTCATCTTGGAAATCGTGTCAATCTTAATCAAATCAGTGGTTGATAACATCTCATATTGGATTCAATGAAAGTAACTATCGTTTGCGAACTTAATCCATCTTTAGTATAGGCTATGTATATCCAGCTGTTCTGTAGTTCTCTCTATATTGTAGGGCTGTTGTTTACGAAACTGAGAGGACGAAAAGCGAATGTCCGGCTCTTTAACCGGATCCCAAACCAATGATGCTCATGGGCTCCAGGATCCTGATGGAACAAATGGTGTATGAACCAATCGTTGGTCACCAGCTACCATAGGGCTGCATCTCCTCACGATGCTCCACTGCCTTTTGGGTCAGACCTTTAGGTCGAAGGCTCCGGGTGTGGCCCCCTAAGAAAACCACCTGTTTCGGTCTGGGCACCCGGGTAGTATCCCAGCCCTCACATAAATCGAATGATTTGTGGCGCATATCTATTTAGTGCCTCCTTGTACCAATGTTTATGTGTTTAAATAATAATAAATATTGCTTTGTGAGCGTGAAACTTGGAGTATAAAGGTGAAATATGTTTTCAAGTATTTGATCATAGAGTACTGGATAAAAGTACCGGTTCCTTTGTTGACATTGAATTTTGATTGATTTAGGTGTCTGAAACAAATCTTATTCAGTTCATGTTCAATTACCACTTATCACAAGATGCAGTTATGTCTGGTGTTTCAGTAGGCTGGATAAAAATGACTTCACATAATGAGTATAACCCACCAAACCATTGAATGTCCGTCTAAGTTGTGTTGGTAGCACATACTACTGAAATGGAATCAAAGCAATAACCATGACAACTTTTCATTTCGTTCCCGTGTAGTAATTTTAACCAGTATATCTTCATGTCAGATCGTACATTAATGATTACTGATTAGATTTTTCAATTATTCACATCTCACTTATTGAAACCTTTTTTATAATGGTATAGGGGATTATAGAAGTTGTTCAATTTCATTATTTTAAAACACTAACCAACTTCAATTAGTAAACCAGAAAGTTATAATCAACAGATATCCGTTATGTTGAATATGAGCAAATGTCATTAATGTTAGTTAAAACTATAAATAGGCTATAAGATATCAACTTACTAGTCTAACGGTTGCGTACCAACTCAATAGCGTGATAGTTCTAGATTCAATCCACTATAGGATCGTAGATGATGTACACTGTTGAAGAATCCTACTATACTAGGAAGAAACATCTGTTCTCGATTTTCATTGATTATCTAACGAAAGCTCATTTGGAATGTAAAATTCATGACATATTACAAAGAGATATGCACACCTTTTTGTTATATCTCGACGCGAATAATGAATGGTAACATTTGGGATGCATTCATGGACCAATACTAAAGGTATATGTTTATCGTATAATTGTTATATAACTAAACTATTCATATTCGTGTTGGTCGCAGGACAGGTAACGGGGACCATCTACTGCAACTTTGCACAGACCAAAACCTGTTTCTGGCTAGCACTAACTTTCGGCACAGATACCGCCGATGTGTCACCTGGCGTCCTCCCTCTGCATCTCAAGCCTGGACTCAGATTGATCACATCGCGATCAGCTACCGCTGGCGTGGTTGTGTACAAAACTGCCACTCCTTTTGGAGTACCTATCTGGACTCTGACCATGCTTTGGTCTCCGCCAATCTCACCTTACTTTTCAGTGGACAACGAAGTGACCGCCACCAACGGATTGATGTCAGCAAGCTGGTTGCAACTTCTGATGCAAGTAAGTATCGAACCGAGCTAGCTACCATTCCACCAAAAAGTATGGATGAGCATTGGTTGCAATTGCATGACGCCATGAAAGTGGCGGGTACAGTCAGTTGTGGGTTCGCGAAACGTCCCGCTTATAAGCACTGGGTTTCTTCAGGCTCCTTACAACTCATTGAAGCCCGTCGGTCTACTCCGGGTGACCGTGAGTTTGACCATAAACGAAGGATGTTACGTAAGGAGATTGGGCAAAGCTTGCGTAAGGACCGAGAAGCCTGGTGGTCGATGCGTGCTAATGAGCTGGAAGCAGCAGCAGCATCTGGTAACTACCGGAAGCTCTTCCAACTCATCCGAGCCACTGGCAGCAAGAAGTCTGGTGTGAGCGAAACAATCTGCGAGAATGATGGGATGCCAATCACTAACGTTCATCGACGTCTTGGACGATGGGCAGAATTTTTCGAAGGGCAGTTCAACTGGTCTGCTGCTCCGGCACCATCGGTCAGACTGTCCGGCCCTCCATGGCCGGTGACGACTGATCCACCAAATGAGGCGAATGTCCGCAAGGAACTCCAACTCTTGAAGCGTTACAAATCACCTAGCCCAAATGACTTACCTCCGGCTCTTTTTAAAGATGGTGGTGACATTCATGGACCAATACTATACATATATGTTTATCGTATAATTGTTATATAACTAAACTATTCATATTCATGTTCCTCTTATCATAAGCTTTATTTCGACCTATGAACTATTATTATACGATTTACCATTCTTGATTTATAGCCTGCCTATCAGTTACTACCTCCCTCATTCACAGCCACTCTTTTGGCTAGATCTTGTGCAAATGTGTATCTTCTGTATTTTATAGTACGATGTGGTCTGTTTGGTTGGTATATAAACCCAGTATATTTGAAATATAATGATTCATATTGCAGTGACTGAGATTGGTGTTCTGGACTTAACTAGCCAGGCTAGAACCGACAATTACTCTAGACTGCTCGTACTTGTTTCATGCCTCATTAATCCAGTCGATAATTCATTGTTCTCTAATTGACAGTATCTTTCCATCATATATATATATATATATATATATATATTGATAAGGGGTAAAGGTTACAAGTCAGAACACCATTAAAAGCATTTATTTAAATTGCATGCTTCACAAATAGAAATAATAAATAGTATTATTATGATTATTATTTTCCCCAGTAAACAAAAGTTGTATCAAATATGTATGTATGCAATGTAATGGATGTATGTATACCATGTGTTTCAAGGGTGTTTCAATGATTCCATTATGTTCCATTATTGTTTACTTCATATTGAAATAATAACTATTATATTACATATGCATATAGATGGTCATTCATTAAATGAAGCTTAGTAACACAATTCTGACTAATATTCATTGAATGAAGCAACTAAGCAAAATAATCTTGTTGATAATCAAATTTTGTTTCCCGGATAAATAAATTCAATGTTGAGCACACAAACACACACACGCACACAATCTTTGAATAAATAAATAAATAAATAGATAAATAAATAGAGAATGTATTCCCGTGAAGGTCACTTATTCAAGGTTATTTATGAGGAGAGAGTGTAAATAAACAAACAAACAAACAAACGTATGTGTAGAATTCAACTGAAGAAAAAACCAATTTGGTGTTTTTTCTCTTTTTTTTAAATTTTCTCTCTTTTTTTTCTTTCTTTCTATCGAAATGAGAATAAACGTGTGATTGTTTGAATAATTAAACCAGAAAAGAGAAAAAAGAGAATAAAGAAATTTTGTCAATATTCACTTTGAAAAATAAATAATTATGTGCAGTTTTTTTTATTTTGGTGATAGGGGAAAAGGGCGACGGGGGGAGAGCGTATGTGTTGATGAAGTTCCAGAAAAGTGATTCATGAGAATACTCCTCATTATTCTCTTCTTCTTCTTCTTCTTTTTTTAATGTGAATCATTAATATGTCGATGAGCACCGAATGACATACCAGCTTGTGATGCAACTTGATTTTGTGGTAAACCCATTTGTAAACCAATAACAGATGCTCCATCTGCAGATAAATTATCACAACGTATATCGGCAATATGACGTTGACCACCCATACGCATACCTTTTTGACTAGCTAATTTATTAGTACCATATTGTAAACTGATAACATTTTGACCTTCTTTTGATATATCATCACAACGGATATCAGCAATATGACGACTACTGCCAATTCGCATACCCTAACCATAAATAAGATAAAGGGAACAATAACAAATTCAGTACATATTTTAATGAAAATCAAATTCATGGCGGTAGTCGACTACCTTCAAGAATACCACATTACATCTAAGCATAGTATACGCTTAGACTAGTGGTCATATTGAAACTTGATCGATAGAATTCGATCTGATTTAAGAAGGATCTGACATATATGATATTGATCCAGTGATTAATCATCGGTGTAGTCAGCCATCCTATCGACAGTGCATTAAATAATAGGAGTAATTATATAGAATAGATAGAATATAGTCAGCAATGAGCTTCAAGAATAGTGTCATTTCGTCCTAGTTAAGACTCGTCAACTGGTTGTACCTGTACCTATCTTATAGTTGTTGTTTACTCCAGGATTCAAGTCCTCTGAATTGCTGTGTTAACAGTTCTGAAACGATGCTTCGATTGATGACAAAAATTTATTTCGACTAGAATAACAAAAGTTTTGATACATTTCTAAAGTACTATTTATCAATTTAAATTGTACCTAAAAGTGGGATCCAGGATACATGTCTCTTTCAATTTGTGATTCATCAGTTGAACGTATCTTCATTCTAGTTTTGATTACCTAATGAAAACATCCTCCTGACAAGATGAACTTTCTAGATTAAATTCATAACCCTAATCCAAATATACAAATAACTGTAAATAAACGATGTATAGACCCAATTGTACTGGATTGTGATGGTAGTAAAGTGTTTCCTACAGATAACCAATATCTTCTGTGACGGTGCCTCCTCATAATAGATGGAGGGGTTGGAAATGATTGACCCTAAAGTAAGGATATCTCGTTTGACTCCTCGGATTTTCATCATCATTAAAAATACATTTGTACTATGGAGCTAACTACTCGCAAAAGGATCATGTGTGACTTGCAACAAGGTATTGTTCTTTACGCACTCCCGCAACTCTTCTTGGTCGCTGAAACTACTTATAAACCAGCTTCCTTTCCGCATACCTCAAGAAGAATTTACTTTTGTAATGTGGGGAACAGGGAAGTAATAAATCCTTACCCACTACTGATAGTACTGCAGACCACTTTCATTGATTCAAATTACTGGTGGTCAGAATAGGTTAAACCACTATTATTATTGGTTTATCCAAATGTACATCGATAATAATCAATATAGACCGTTTACATTTCTAGTAGAAAGTTTTGACTTGTAACATCAACTAATATAAAAGTGATATAGTTCCCCCATCAAAGATGTTGCATTATAATAATGAGGGCAAGCTCTCACTTAGAATCCTTAAGGCCAAAGGAGAAGAGGAAGACCATAGAAGAACACATTAAGTCGAGAAATGGAGACAGACATGAAAAGAATGAACAACAATTTGATAGAACTAGAAAGGAAGGCACAGAATAGAGTGTGTTGGAGATTGCTGATTGGCGGCCTATGCTCCATTTTGAGTAACAGACGTAAGTAAGTATGACTTATCATTTATCGTATGCTGTGAACTGCTGTATGTATATATAATCACGTCAGTTTTAAATGGATGAATAATACAGGGTGATTGGCCAGCTGGGGACAGAAGATTGTTTACATGTACGAATCGGAATTGGCATACACCTTCGCTAAACTATGGAATTAGTTTTATTGATGTTATATCTGAACGAAGAATAAGTGAATGGTAACTGCTAGGATCCATTTATGAACTAACTGTTAAGTAACTATATTATATGTATATTCATATTCCTTTTGTTATAAACTTTCATTTGACTTACTGAATACTGCAATACGATTTACTATTCTTAAGTTATTCCCAATTTATTAGATACAGTCTCTGACACTCATAACCACTTTTTGGTTTGATCTTGTATAAATGGAATACATGATTCATATCGTAGAGGCTGATATTGGCGCTCTGAATTAAACTGACTGGGTTAGGTGAGAAGCTACTATCTCGGAGGTTCAATAAGAACTCAGAGTGACTCTAGGCTGTTCATACTAGTTTATACATCATTGATCTGGTCAATAAGTCGGTGTTCTGATAACTGACGATCGTATCAGCGTCAAAAGACATACTCTCTTATTTTAACTGTTCATATATTGAATACCAGTTTATGAAACAGATTAGCTGCTTCTAGGTTTCCACAAAAAATTCCAAATGGAATGGAATGTAACTTGTAATTAATGTAGAACTTTGAGATCAGTTCTTATGTCACTTAAAAATCGATACAAATAAGATTACTGTGTAATTATTACAGTTTCTCTAAGTTGACTTTAGGTTGTTCTCACTTGAATTCAACGTTTTTGTTTTTTTGTATGGAATAAGTATGAGCTGATAATGTTATCTAGAAATATAATGAACACATCAAGACTAAACCATCTAGTTCAATGAACATAACATCTACAGTTGAAGGGAACCAAATTCTAACTCTAACAAATACAGATGTGGATTGGTTGAGGTTATACATTAGCACCATTGTATCCCGGCTCAATAGTCCAGTAGGTTAAGCGTTCATGTGCAAGACTCAAGGCCCTGGGTTCGAATCCCGCGAGCGGGGTCGTGGATGCGCACTGCTGAGACGTCCCACAATAGGACGAAATGGTCGTCCAGTGTTTCCAGGTTTTCAATGGTGGTCTAACATTAATCGGTTCATCATCTCAATCAAAATATTTATGAAAAATTTGACCTTGATTAAGAGTAACGATTGAGTAAACAATTACAATCATGTATGTTTCTGAACATTTCATTTGGTTAGCTATCAAATTAATAGATGTGTGTATGACTGTTGAATTTGAACCAACCTTCAACTACATTTCAACTGCTAATCAGAACGTAGCATTTCATTCACAACAATAATCGCTTCATTTTGTAAAGTTAACAATCAACAAGCAAAGAAACTTATTCATATGTACTAAAGTAATCTTCTTTAAAAGATGTTATACATCTGTATTTTGATTGAGATCAAGATTCGATTGATGTTAGACCACCATTGAAAACTTGGAAGTAATGAAGTGCCATTTTGTCCTATTGTTTAACTCTCAGCAGTGTTCATCCGCAACAACATCGCGGGACTCGAACCCATGGCCTTCAGTCTCGCGCGTGAACGCTTAACCTCTAGACCACTGAACCGACCGGCATCCAACAGTGTTAATGTCTAACTTCAACTAATCCACGAAATTTTGCAACCATCTTCCGCTGTACTGAGGTAGATACCTGTCTCTACCTAACAAGGATCAGTTCCACTAATCACGGCTTCTCACTAGAACTCGGAGAATTCCCTCATGAAGCTAGTCACTAGTGAACATATAGTAGTTATCATAGATAGATGAAAAACGTTGGATGCCAGCCAGGTCAGCGGTCTACACGTTAAGTGTTCGAGCACGAAACTGATGTTCCTGGGTTCGAGTCCTGTTGGCGCAAGATCGTGGGTGTGCACCAATAAGAAGTCCTATACTAAGACGAAACGGTCATTGAATACTTCCAGGTTTTCCATGGTGGTCAACTCATAAATTCAATTATTAAATATTACAACAATGTTGTTAAAATCTCATTCATATAATTGTGAATAAATTAAATTACCTTTTGTGAAGCAAATTGATTTGTGCCCATTTGTAAATTTATTACAGATTTACCTTCTTGTGATAGATCATCACATTTTATATCGGCAATATGACGTTGATTACTGAAACTCATACCTTTTTGTGATGCAAATTTATTTGTACCCATTTGTAAGCTTAAAACAGCAGCACCTAAAAATAGTTTCCGATTATTTTTCGGAGGGAGAGAGGGAGGAATGAAGAGAGAAAAAAACGGGTATTTCTTGAAAATTGGAACAAGAAGGCACCAAATAAATATGCGCCACATAAATCATTCAATTTATGTGAGGGTTGGGATACTGAACGGGTGCCTAAATTGAAGGAGGTGGTTTTCTTAGGGGGCCTTCTACATAAGGGTCTGATCCACAAGGCAGTAGAGCAACGTAAGGAGATGCAGTCCCATGGTATTCGGTGACCGACAATAAGTTCATACTCCATTTAGTCCTTCAGGATACTAGAGCCCATGTGCACCATTGGTTTGGAATCAGGTTTTTCAACTCCCCTAGGTGAATTCTTTGTTCCCACCAACCCGGTTAAAGCTCCTGCCAGATATTCGCTTTCCGTCCTCTCAATTTCCTAAGCAACATTAATGGCGCGAGAAGGCAGTGAGTAGGTCTGCCCTGACATTGTCTGCATGCACGTGGCAAGGGCATTTCGATGTTTCTTACAGTTAAATAGGATTGCTTTAAACTATATTATACGAATTATGCTTAATAAGACAGATTAACTGACGTTAGAAATGTAAATCAACTCAGAGATCTGAAAGTTAAGTGCTCCTATCTATTCCTGAAGATCATGGATGTGTACTACTAAGAGATTCCATATTAGGTCGAAGCAAATGACAATCTTTCTTGGTGTTTACTAATCGTCTAACTAAAGTCATTCTTTGATGTTAAACCATAAAAATGTGATTTTAACTTCTATTATGTATTGGCATCAGTTAGAAAATTATTGAAAACCATACTTTCAGATGTCTTGATACGGCCGAAGGTAAGGACTGTCCGCTATCTCTCTTTTTAAATGTTCATATATGGCAATGTATTTATAGCTTTTACTAGGGAAGTCCTTTACCACGGTGTTATTTCTACAAAACTGAGAGGGCAGAAAATTAACCGGTTTGGTGGATAGAGATGGTTCATCTAGGGAAGCTGAGAAATCCTAATGTCAAACTCATATAGTATATGGGTCTCAAGATACTGAAGGGATGAATAGTAATTAAACCAATTTCGGTCAACAGCTACCGTAAGACTACCTTTTCTGAAGTTATTCCACTGTCATGTGGGTTAAACATCTGGGTCAATGACTCGACGAATGGTCTCTTTCAAAAAAAAAACACAACTAGTCTTGTCTGAGTATGCAGTCAGTATTGCAGCTAACACATATGTAACATGATGAGTCGTTAAACAGTTACTTCACTGTAGTTTGAAGCTTTTCAAGAGTAATGTAATGGAAGTCTAACAATGGATTACTGCTTATTCATTTAAAAGTATTTGGATCACCGCCGTATTAGATTGAACTATCCACAATATAATCAATATGTATATATTGTCATCAGCTTCATGCAAATGCTGTAACTGATCAATAAATGTGAAGGTAAACACATAACATTACACTATGTACAAAAGATTATCAGATTGCATAACAGTCATTCCAATTACATTCCATTGATATTTTGTTTACTAACTGATTTTAATGTATTTTACTCTAATAAACTCATGTTCTGTTCTATACGTGATTCTTCATAGTTGGATCAGACAACTGAACTGAGTGTGTTATGTGATCAACTGACCTAGTGTTCATTTTATTGATCCATTGTTTAGTATGAACAGTCTGAACAATTTATGATTGTGAAAACAAAATTGTGATTATCAGTAAGAGAATTTATGGAGATGGTGATATTTTTCATAGTTGAATTCACTTGTCAATCTAAGCTATTGACTAATTTCAAGATGGATTTCCTAAGATTCTAAAGAGAAGTCGTGATCAGTCGAGTCTAATCCGCATCCAGTGTGAGACAGTTATCCAACTCAGACAATACATAAACAACTGCACAAGATTATAGATTAATTGAAGTTAGACAATAACATGATTGAATGCCGTTTCAGTGGTCTACAAGTTACGCGTTCTCACACAAGACTGAGGGTCCTGTGCTCGAGTTCATTTGTTACGGGATCATAGATTAGCACTGTTGAGGTCTTCCATACTAGGACGAAACATCTATCTATTGTTTGAAAGTTTTTCATGGTGGTCTAGCTTTAATAGACTCATGAATTAAACTAGTAACAATCGTTATTAGTTATGATATAACGACAGGATGAAAATACTTTCATTTACCGTAATATGATACTATAATATGATAACACATCATATGCTTGTAGTGACCTACTTTTACCAAGAGAACGCGATTGATTTAATGGAAACAATCATCATTATAACCAGTTGTACCAGTGTTTGTTTTACTGTGCTAAAGACAGCCATATTACTGCTCCATTATCTTTCGATTGTGACATTGCACGGGTTCGGTTACGCTCGGTAACCACGCTTGTACTCCTTTGGCACGATCTCGGTATCCTTTCAATACCACGAGATCGCCAACAAATACATCTCGACTACAGCCATCAACTGCCTTCTGATATTTGGCTTACGGGGGATTTTATCGGTTAACCGGCACCTAGTCTTCTTGTAGTAGTGTTCATAGTCAATCACGACTCGACTCCACGCTTCAATTGGGGGGAGTACAAGTGGAATCAGCGGACAGGAGTACGAACATACGAGGTCACAATCTGCGGAAAAAGTAATGGAGAGTAATGGAGGAGGAGTAATATGACTGTCTTTAGCACAGTAAAACAAACACTGGTACAATTGGTTATAATGATAATTGTTTACATTAAATCAATCGCGTTCTCTTGGTAAAAGTAGGTCACTACACGCTCGAAATTAGATTACCACTAAACTGGATCATTTGATTAGGACGTTGCTCATACACTAAGTCCATATTATATCAGATACACGATTCATAACCAAGTATAGAGAGCCAGAACATACTTTCCTCTACACAATTACTATACACAACCAAGTTCAGAGTAGAAGTCCATTATGGAAAAGGCAATCACACTAAAAGATTAGTAAGATTATGCCTGTCAGTCTTCACTTAATAGCCAATCACATTTTAGTTTCCTCAAACTCCCATTGATTTACTGAATATAAACTAGATTTAATTTATTACCTTCTGGTGTCATATCATCACATCGTATATCAGCAATATGACGTTGAGCACCAAATGACATTCCTTTTTGTGATGCTAATTTATTTGTTCCAGCTTGTAAACCAATAATCCCTTCACCAGCACGTAATTTCTCTTCTGTCCATTGACGTGGTTGTGAATAAGTAGGTTTTGGTCCACAAACAGGACCTTGAAATCCATTACGTTGACACTATACATAAAAACAAATAACAAATAATTGTCTGTACTAAAGAATTCTCAGTTCAAATCTAAACAAAATTCAAGATAGAAGTCTTCTATCTGAAGGTTGTGCTGATGATGTTGTTCAGAAGAACAATGAAAGCTCCATGATCAAAACATCCAGCTTAAAGAACAAAACTCCCTGTTTTCTAAAAATAATTAGTTACCATTCATATTGATCAATAAGTGTTTATCATTACTCTTTCCTTCCATTATATCCCTGTTTATTAGTGATTATATTTGATATGTGAATTACATAGTGAATCCCTCTCATTTCTTTAAAGATTATAGTAGGGAGGGGGGAAATATAAAAAACCATTGTGGTGGTGTTTAACTGTAATTAGATTCGCAACCGATTGCATACATTTTATTAAAGTAAGTACACGTAGTAAAACTCCGCCTGTAGCTCTTCTAGAGTTACTGCCGGTCCCAAGCCCGGGTAAAGGAGGAGGGTTGGGCATTGGGTTAGCGACCCCATCCCGTAGAAAACTAACTTGCTGAAAAAACGCTAACCAGGAACAATAATTCAAACCATTTAAACTCTGCCCTGGGTGTTAAAACATCTACATTTAGGAGAGTTATGACACCCCATAGTGAAAGTCGAGTTCCTTTGAAAGTCACGAGGTTGATGCCCCATCTGACAACCAGAGCAACCCCTAATTTAGGTATATGAAATATCCACCTCATAACTAGAACCAAATGAAGATTATAAACCAGTATGGGGAATTAGGATTATGATTCACAGTTCATGGTTAAGGTTAAGAATTAATTTCAAAGTTTTCATCATGAACCGACATCAACTAGATTGCCAAAACGCTATTTAGCCAAATAAAATGGATGAGTTTCTCGACAAAACCCAAGACCCCTTATTCCAAATCTGATTAGTTTGTCCATAAAGTATAGTCACAACAAAATATCTGTAACAATATACATCAAATTTGAGGATAATACAGTAAAGATATTGAGAGAAATTAAGTTTTTATCAAAAAGACTGGTAGGTCCTGGGTTCGAATCTCTCGGGGGGGGGCGAGATCGTGGATACACACTGATGAGGAGTCTCACAATAGGACGAAACGGCCGTCCAGTGCTTCCAGGTTTTCCATGGTGGTCTAGCTTCAAATGACTCATGATTTCAATCAATCTCCACAACACCTAAACTGAAAAAGAATAAAGTTCCTCGGTGTTCATTATTTGAAGAGATCATGAATACATACTTCTAAGACGTTGCACATAAGAATAACAATGATGTTCAATGCATTAACTAATCCAAAAAAAGTGGAAACCTACTTCAGTTCCTAATTGTAATAGAGTAGCTAATACTTGTGCCATGTTTCTTGCTTCAAATAAATCAACAGTTTGAAATAAACATTCACGTGGTACACCATATGCTTCGGATAAATCAAGAAATCGTTGAATATTCTCCATCTGTAAATAAGAATTAATAAATACAAGAGATAATTGAGATGGTGGGAAAGATTTATAGTTCAGGTGGATGATTTTGATGGAGTTCTGTTCTCGGAGCTCGATGGTTTGTTGGTGAAGCTTTCATCGTCCTTCTGAACAACATCACCAGAACAAACTTCAGGTAGAAATGAAGAAATTTGAACACTTCACTTCACACATGGCCATGTGAGAGCATTTGGAAAAGAAGAGTGGACTCTCCCCACCTTTGGCCGTACCAAAACATTTAGGGGTGTCTCATACCGATACAAAACAGCTCTTCAACTAACAACAATTTCTAATCTTAAATAAATCATTTTATTTACTAACTGGTTGCTAAGTGAATACACAAAAATGTATCCAAAATAATAACAAATAAAGATTTTTTGTAAAAAAAAAGAAAAAGAAGCCAAGATCCGAAAGATTTTCACATTAATTTTTTTCTTTCGGTTTCTATGTTTAGTTTGTTTATGATTAAAAGTATTTTTCTTCTATGAAAAGTAAAACAAAAAAAACCAGCATCTACCTAACTTTCATATTAGTTGCCAACACAAATCTCCTTTTTTTTCAAAAAGAGATTTGTGTTGGAATGAAGAGAAAAATAAATGAATTATCGTTTACACCAAGGAATATATTGTGCATATGTATATATATATATATATAGAGAGAGAGAGGGGGCAGAGGTGTTTGTGTGTATGGATGATTATGTAACTGCATTTTCTGACATATATCTACGCACGCACACACACACACACATTGATATATAATAGTAATAATAAGACAAAGTATTACTTTTGATTTATTTACAGGACTAAGTATACCTTCTATGCACTAATTTCCATTATTATAGTTTTACACCCTAACAGAATTGAAGGGAGAAAATGGAATAGATGTTACCATGATATACATTCATTCTATGATTTTGTATTAAATAGCTGATAATAATAATAACCAAAGATAAATTCAATAATGACACTCATTGATTACCTACTTTCATTGGTATCATTCATTTAGATAGGTTATGATTATATATAGAGTGTAGTAATGCACACTGAAATAGGTAGTTCTAGTTCTTCATATACCATATGTCTTTTAGATACATTTATGATAGGCTGTATGTATTAAACTATAATGTGAACTGGTATTACATAAATGTAATTCAATCCTTATCATTACATGTATAGAATTGTAGGAATCATTTGAAGGAAATGTATTTGACCTAAATTTTAGCATGGATTTGTACTGCTATGTAGGTTGTAAGCGAATGTTCAATTTGTCTGATTATTAATGATATTAGAATTGGAATTTATGTTATGTAACATTCATATATATAGATGACCTGTTCAATCTCTATAAAAATCTGTTCTGATACTAAATAACATATACTTAATAGTGACTGGTTTCAAGCTCGATCGTAGTTCCCGATCTCTCCATTCTTGTTTATTTTTGTCGTTGATGTGCTTTTAGAGATAACACTTTACTCATCTAAATTTCCAGGAGTTGAACTTCTACCGGGAGATTCACTTGTTGACTTAGAATATACCGATGACATAGTTCTATTCGGTGAAGACACTGACAAAATGCAGAGTCTTCTGACCACTCTAAGCAACAATGCAAGCATGTTAGGCATGCGATTCTCTCCCTCGAAATGCAAAATGTTGTTTCAGGATTGGGTTGCATCGACACCCGAACTAATGATAGGGATTGAAGTAATTGAGCGTGTTGACCGCTTCACTTATCTTGGAAGTCTCATCAGCCCTTGTGGTCTGGTGTGTGACGAAATCTCAGCACGGATACAGAAGGCTCGATTAGCTTTTTGCCAACTTGCGTCATTTATGGCGTAGGCGAGATATCCGTCTATCAACCAAAGGACGTGTTTACTGAGCAGCAGTTCGTTCCGTCCTATTTTATGGGAGTGAGACATGGCCGGTAAGAGTAGAGGATATTCGTAGGTTATTAGTATTCAATCATAGGTGTCTTCAAAACATTGGTCGTATATCCTGAGATGACCATCGAGTAAGTAATGCAGTTGTTAGGAAACGGGTACTAGGTAAGGATGGCAAATCAATTGATGACGTAGTGAAACTTGATCAGTTGAGATGGCTGGGACATGTGTTACGTATGCCCAGCCATTGACTGCCTCGACGTACTATGTTTTGTGGTGTAGGAGCAGATTGAAAGAAAGGTAGGAGCGACCAGACCAAAACATGGCACAAATCCATAAAGTCACTGACAAGTAGACTGAGTCATGTTGGTAGGTGTAGACCACCTGGTAAGGATCCGCGAGATGATAGCAACCGATGGTTAAAGACCTTGAATGAGATGGCTCAAAATCGTTTGCAATGGTGTGCGCGGGTGCATTCACTCTTTGTGTTCTCCCAAATTCTAATCTTCTGAATTCTTCATGTCCCTTTATTTTTTCTCTTTCCAAATTCATTTCACTGTATTATACTCCTCGAATAACATCTTCAAACCTTAATCTTTCGGATTATTGCTTATACTTTTACTACCTCTACCACTATGTGATTTGAATCGACAACTACACCTTTGTGATAATGCAGTATGACAACTCGAACTGACAAGACAAAACTACATTCGTATATAAAATGAACACTCTATATCGCCGTGTCATGCTGGTATCTAATGTGACAGATTTAAGAATAAAACTAATTTACTAAAGATATCGACAACCTTCATTGAATACTTCGTAATTAGAAGATTTCAGTCATTTCTCCTCTCCATTTTTTGTGTAAGTGTTATATTTTAAATTGTAATCTTCTTAAAAGTTATCATTTTAAGCCTTATCCTTCAACTGTATACAACTGACGCTAGTCTTAACAATAAAGTAACACACTGTAAAGTTTCTCTCTAATATAGTAGTAGTCTTAGGTTGTTTCTCTCAACACTTTAGCTCTTACATTGTTACTGTAGTGTTTGCTACTAATGTTGACAGATATAAGTCGTATACATCACCAATCGAATGTGAAACGTCTGGAGGCAAAATGTTAAGAAGATCGAAGAAAAGCAAACGAGAACACAGAATGATTGTTGTGGAAATGAAGGAACAGTGAAGTCTGAGACGATTGATTGACATTCTGCAAATGAAGGATTTACTGTATGGTTCTCAGATTTTACTAAGAGATTCTGTAATGTTGTATTCAAATACATTCGATTATCCCTGCTTTATGTTCTTATTCATTACAGTACTGCAAAAAGTTAACAAATGGTAATTTCAATTCATAATCTATCAACATAATATTGTATTCAATCCCTTTTGGGATCGTGAATGTACACTGTTACTGAAATATCCTATTACTATGATAAAACAGTCATTCAGTCCTTTCAGGTTGTTCACAGACTACTCTTAAAAGTACTGGTGGGAAGTCACCCGGGAAACAGTTAGCTACTAAAGCAGCACGTAGAAGTGCAGCAACTACTGGTGATGTTAAGAAACCTTATCGTTATCATCCGGGAACAGTTGCCCTACATGAGATTCATCGTTAACAAAAGTCCATCGAGCTACTCATACGCAAACTACCCCTCCATTGTTTGGTCTGGGATATTGAGCAAGACTTCAAGACCGACCTACGTTTCCAAAGTTCTACAGTTTCTGCCCTTCAGGAGGCAAGCGAAGCCTACCTTGTTGGCTCTTTCGAAGACACTAACTTGTGTGCCATCCATATCAAACATGTCACTATTATACGAAAGGACAAACAACTGGCTCATCGAATCCGTGATGAACGCACCTAATCGACCTATGATACAACTGTCCTATGAAATCTAGTTACATTTAATCTGTGATATGAAACTTTAAATATTCTTCAAAACTTTTATGATAGAGAGAAATATTGAAGAAAGTGTAAGGCTTGAGACTAGTTTCACTGTATAATTATTAGATAGCTGTATTATTATGTTTCTATATTCACCTCATTGTTATATTCCAGCAGACGTACTAACTATTGTATTAAGTTTGACTATTCCTTAATTCTTCCTAATAAATTATGTACTATTTGCTTCGCTTCCATCCACTTTTAGTGAGATTATGTTTAAAGTATCATTTCTTCTTTGAGGAACTTTTTGACCTGATAGTTAGGCGTTCGTACGTAAAACCGAAGGTCCTGAGCTTGATCCTCTCTATGGAATCCCATACTGGGACAAAATAGCTGTCAAGTACATCCGTGTATTCAATGGCTATTCAGTTTATGATATCATTAACAATCTAATGTTTCAATGTTTGAGATCATAAGTCAATTGAAGCTAGACCACCATGGGAAACCTGGAAACACTGGACGGCCGTTTCGTCCTAATGTGGGACTCTTCAACAATGTGCCGTTTAGTGCGTCCAGGTTTTCCATGATGGTCTAGCTTCAGTTGAATCAAGATCTCAACTACTGAAATTACCATAATATCCACAAAAACCCTTCTGATATGAATGTAATGTTTGTTTAAATAGCATTTTAAATTACGTTTAATGCTTTTTCATCATATAATTTTGGACACTGATAATACAGTAATAATGTATTTAGGTGTATTATGCCAAATAAAGGTAATAACAACAAACAAAGATAAAGTAAACATCACCTAGAAGATAAAAATTGAAGCAATTGGGTTAAAGAGTACAAAGAACAAAGTAACCGCCTGCTTTGTTTACATCTACATGAACATTAGTCAACTGCTAAACACTATGGTATCACATCACTTATATCAATGCGGCATGAAGGATTGGGAACATAAGCTCTGGCGAGCAACAATCAAAATGTTGGACAGGAAATACAAAGAAATACAGAGAATATTTAGAAGTCTGAGACTCAGGTCAAGCATTAATCAATAGGCATATGGATAGTGACTTAATCAATTAATTAATCGGGGGAAGGAAAAACACCTAATAAGATCAGAGATCATATCAGCAAAGAAAACAATCAAAATAGATATACAGTACAGCAATTATAATCAGTAACCAAATAGAATTGCAGGTCAACATAACAAGCTATTAGTCAATTATAGAGGACCGTAAGTCCCAGGTTCGATTCCTGAGTGTTGGATCGCGTGTATGCACCGCTTAAGAGTTCCAAACTACGATAAAATATCCATTCAATGATTCCATTCTTTCAGTGGTGGTCTAATATTGATCAGTGAATGATTTCAATGAAATTTTAAAGAAATCCTGACGGCTTATTTCTCTTTAAAGTACAATGTTAACCAAAACAAGTAAGTTTTAAAAATAAACTATCCACCTTCAGAGGAATTCTGATCAGAGAAATTAAAGTTCAATGTCTTATCAATAAATTTTACTCACTTTGAAAATGATAATTTACGACTGTATTTTCATAACCACATTTAAATTTATGATAATATGAATATCATCAGTTTGAGTGTTTTTATGGAGATTGTGGAGAGCACGCAACTTCGTGGATTGGTTGAGGTTAGACATTAACACCATTGAATGCTGGCTCAGTGGTCCAGTAGGTTAAGCGTTCGCGCGAGAGACTGAAGGCCCTAGGTTCGAATCCCGCGAGCGGGACCGTGTTTGCGCACTGCTGAGGAGTCCCACAATAGGACGAAAAGGCCGTCTAGTGCCTCCAGGTTTTCAATGGTGGTTTAACATCAATCGGTTCACGATCTCAATCAAAAACTTAACAATCTCCACAACCCCTAAACTAGTAATTTAATAGTTGGATTCATGAGTCGAACTAAACTAGACCACCATTTAAAAAAAATGAGAGTACCGGGTAGCCATTTCATCCTAGTGTGGGACTCTTCAGCAGTGCACATCTACAATCCCATATGCGGGACTCAAACAAATGATCTTCTCTCTCGCGTATGAACTCTTAACCTCCAAACCATTGAGCCGACATCTAACGGTGTTGAATTTGGATCGGTTAAAGTTATACATTATCACCGTTATACACCGGCTCAGTGATCTAGAGATTAGGCGTTCACATGCAAGACTGAAAGTCCTGGGTTCGATTCCCGCTTGTCGAATCATGAATGCGCACTGCTGAAGAGTCCCATCCTAGAACTAAACGGCCGTCTAGTGCTCTTAGGTTTTCGATGATGGTCAAACACGGATCCATTCATAATATCAATCAAAATCCAACAATCTCCATAACCCTATACTGGTAGAATGAAATGTGTTTATTAACAATCATAAATAGAAAAAAGCAGATAATCATATGGTATGAATCCTTTTCTTTTTTCAGTGAATAAACTAAACTATTAACAATACTAGTCAGAAAAATTTCTCACTTGTTTAAATGGTGCAGTTCCTGTGTTTGCATTTATTGGTCTACGTATTGTTTGAGCTTTTGGTGGTAAATTCGGTGTACGTTCATATACAGCATTGATAAGTCTGTAAATGGAATGGTTAGAAGAGAAAGTAATGATAATAATAGTAGTAGTGAAAGTACAATCTCTATGTAATGACATGGAGACAGGTATCTACCTCAGTACAATGGAATATGGATCGGTTGAAATTAGACATTAACACCGTTAGATGCCGGCCAGCTCAGTGGTCAAGAGGTTAGGCGTTCGCGCATGGGAGCGAAAGTCCTGGGTTCGAATTTCGAGGGGGAGGGATCGTGGATGCGTACTGCTGAGGTGTCTCACAATAGGATGAAATGGCCGTCGAGTGCTTTCTGGTTTTCAATAGTGTTCTAACATCAATCGGTTCATGATCTCAATCAAAAATTCATAGTTCATTTGATTTTAATTGTAACATGTTTTATTGGTCAAAAAATTAACAAAATGACCGACAGGCTACTTTTCATTCATGTTGGTTGTTTGGATCTTCCCATTAATGTTTAAGATTGAGAATGATCAGTCTCGTTTTGGTATATGTGTATTTTGTGCGGACTGCCTTGATATTACCAATAAATCAAAAGCATTAAAGCAGCGATGGATAGATGGTAGTTAGCAGTGATATCCAGGAAGTGCGCTTCGTCCTATTTGGGACTCGTCAGTGACCTGGATTCCACTGCTACCCACCAACCATCACTGCTTGAAGTGACTAGTAGACTGACTGATCCATCTTTAGTTTTGTTGAAAGAGATCATGATATTCTATAAGGAAGCTACATCTACCAATCTTTTCTAGTATATTCGACGAAAACTGACAACCCAATAATCAGTAAAGATATCATCATTTGACTGAAGGTCAGAATGTGCACCTGGTGTAATTAGTTGAATTTAAATTACGGACGATAACCTACTATATTTAGACAAATCTAACACAATGGCACCTTAATGATGACAACAGTACACGACTAAGAACAGAGAAGACAAGGCCTTTTTAAGACAGTTTTTATGTCTCAAGTAATGATATAGCGACTCACGTGCAATTGAGTTTGTTCTCATTTAACTCGGTTAAGCCCTTCTGTTAACTTATTTAGCGGACAAAGACGTCCGCACTATAACAACTTATTGTACCTTTATTATTGTTGTGCTTGTATGAAATATGTATGCTTGAACATTGTTTAGCGCTTACGCATAGATTCATTCTGCTAGCTTCATTATTAGCTGCTTAATTGATTAGCCGATTATCCATTTCGCTATATATACTATACATATATACAACATTTACACTCTGCCACTCACTACTACTACTGCTACTACTGCTACTGCTACAAACACAGTTCGCTTGCTCATTCGTTTAGCCTCTCTACTGTGTGGTCGGATTATCTGCTAAATAAACTGTGGTAGCTGCTTCGTTTTACCTTCTGATTTCAAACACCGTTGAAGACTGTACGATAACGGTTCGAGGGTGATTAGTTATCGAAGCACAGCCACTACAATGACAACTTAGCAACTATCGTATTATACAAAGCAAAATGACCAGTAGAAACGGGTTGCATTTACATGATATTAATGTATCATTATAGAAATGAGGTAAAAATAATTGTTTCTTTGACAACTTCACCTGCTCCTAAAATCGATTTTTGGGTCAACTTCAACTGTACCACTGCATTCTTATTCAACTGTATAAATGTATTATGCAAACCCAGAGACTTAAAAATTCTAAGTTCAATCGTATACAGGATTGTATCCATGTATCAATGATTTAAACTGAATACTAGAACGAAGTAACTATGCAGTATTCAATTGCTTTTCAATAGTTGTCAATTTGTTGTCAACACATAATAAATAAATCATCCAAACAAACCATGTACACTAAAATAAATAAAGTGATATTTGTCACAGAATGATCTCGGTTGATGAGAAAGAAACACTGTATCCCTCAACAGTGCATATCCATGATCATATAGAGCATTGAATCTTAAACCTTCAGTTATCAGTACGGGCGTTTAACAATAAAGTTACTGAGTTAGAATCCAGTGAATCATTTTCATAAGTTCACTTAGTTTGTGATATAGCGTGACAATCATTTGTGAGGACTGTTTCATTCCAGACACATCTGGACTTCACCAGTTACGATTTCTCACTAGAACTTCTGGCAGTTTCCTAGGAACTAACCTACAACAAACGTAAAGATTCCAATCGCTTACATATATGTTGCATTTGACCACATATTGCTATACTATTCAATTGTATTAGGATACCAAAATTTCGATATTATTTCACGTGAATGAGGATTGAGTTTGAATAAGTTGCCAACACAGGTGATATTCAAAGCTCTTGTAACATCCAATCGTGTTTGTTTTTAGATAGAAGTATATATTCTTATTGTGAGAAGAAATATACTCTGTTGACAGGTATTTCATCATCTAATATTCTTTCGGCTGAGCAGAAGCTGTCAGTCAGTCACATTATACCACTAAGTGCCATCTATTTATTTTTAAAATTCCAACTCGTAACAACGATCCAATAAGGTAAGGCTGAACCAAGGTCAGAGCAACTCATAGTGTTGAGAATAACATTTAAAGTTTGATAGATTTAGTTGATCGTTTAAATAACAGACAGAAATAATAATCATTAATATGGACTATAATATAACAACACTTAATTGAACAAAAACATAATGAAAAAAAATTCCACGATAAACACCACCCACTGAATACATCTCAGTCCTACAGGAGGTCAGTCGCGATCTGGACAACTCAATGGTAACATCTCTTACTGTGAATCTGAGTGACATATGATCAAATCCGTCAGGGAACATCAGTTCCCTCAAGATTACATGTACACCTTGCTGATAAGTGCCAAATAGAACGAAACTCGGGTTTAGGGAATGCATATTGACTATCTCCAACCACTACCTTACATTCGCCTAGTGGTCTAGGGGTATGATACTCGCTCCGGGTGCGAGTGGTCCCGGGTTCGAGTCTCGGTTGGGCCCGTACTTCCCGACCGTTGTTACTACCTCGACGTGGTGGTCGGGCTCCCCTATCGTGATGACGTGGCCGAGCTATACTGACTGGAACAACCGTTCCTTAAGGTCCTACCATGTCAGACAGGTCGGTTGAGGAGCGGTAAGAATAAAAGCAACAAACCCAAGGTTCGAAGGCGAAGTCGTACTGCTGACTGTACAGAGGTGTGACAGTAGTAAGATGTTTCCTTTAGACAACCAGCATGACAGCGATGCTGCTTTCCCACAAGTAGGGGTGGGGTTAGAAAAGGTCGACCCTAAAAATGCACACCCATTAAAAGGTTGTGTGTGATAACCGCCCTCATACCTCTAACAGCACTCAAGATCACTGTATTTAAAGGACCTTACACTGACAAATACCATAACAACTTTATTGTTAAGAGAAGAACAATAGGTCAACTAATTGAATATATATACATGATTAAGGAATTAAATTTAATTATCAGTCTATCTGTAACATCATAAGTAATTTGATGTAATTCCTAATAAGTATACAGTGATAACAACAACAACAACAATAAACCCATTCTTCCTTACTCAACAAGTATTTGACCATTTTTTAATGTTCTTTGAACATTTTCACGTCCAAGAGGAATATTTTGTCCAGTTAATTGTTGTATCCATCCCATCACTTGACGTTCTGCATCTGGATCATATCTACTATTCAACTGAAACATGATACATTAAAAATACAAAAAAAAATTGAGGGAAATTTGTAACTTGAATAAATCGTATTGTGATAATGTTACATTCTTAAAGTTGAATAATTGAATTATGAAATCTTCATCATCAATGTTAATTCTATATTGAAATGTATTTCTTTTCAATGATTCAACAAGTTAAATAGATCCATTCATTCTATGACGAGACTCTAATTTATAGACGACGAATGAATTCCTCTGTGAATCGATCGTACGTTAGCATTAAGCACTGAAGTTCGCGCTGTAACCTTGAAATATCTAAAAAAAGAAGCCTCTGATTGGCTCGTCCATAAATTAGAGTCTCGCCGGTTCTATTCCCGTAGAATGTTTCCTTATCAAATGTAAATGATATTTGTCATGATTTTGGTGGAGTTTTGTTCTCTGAACACGTTTTTTAAAGTAAATAAACAAATTAATAAAATATAAATTAATGTCTGATAGATTAAGAGTGATGGTGAGATGTCTATACTCCTCCATGAGAGATAACAGAAGTAAGGAATACTGAGTCAGTCAGAAATCGTTTAAATGACTAGTTCATTAGTTCACAGTATATAAGAACAATCATTTCTTTTTTAATGTTCAATACAAATGAAAATATTCAATATTTTCAAACATTTTACACCATTCGTTTAGTATTACATTGCTGCATATACTTACTTACGCCTGTTACTCAAAATGGAGCATAGGCCGCCGACCAGCATCCTACAACCCACTCTGTCCTGAGCCTTCTTTTCTAGTTCCATCCAATTCTTGTTCATTCTTTTCATGTCTGTCTCCATTTTTCGGTCCAATGTGTTCTTTGGTCTTCGTCTTCTCCTTTGGCCTTTAGAATTCCATGTGAGGGCTTGATTTGTGACGTGGTTAGGTGCTTTCCTCAATGTATGTCCTATCCACTTCCAGTGCTTCTTCCTGATTTCTTCCTCCGCTAAAATATGGTTTGTTCTATCCCACAGTAGGTTGTTGCTGATAGTGTCTGGCCAACGGATCCGAAGTATTTTGCGTAGACAACTGTTAATAAACACTTGTATCTTCTGAATGATGGCTTTCGTAGTTCTCCAGGATTCTGCCCCATACAGTAGAACTGTCTTGACATTTGTATTGAAAATCCTGACCTTGATGTTGGTTGACAGTTGTTTTGAGTTCCAGATGTCCTTCAGTTGTAAATACACTGCTCTTGCTTTACCGATCCGCGCTTTCACATCTGCATCAGTTACTACATATAAGATTATGCAATTTTTACTAAGAACTCTATTTCAATCATTTATACCCTATGAATACACATTTGTGTAGTAACTTAACTTTCGGAATGAAAATAAGAAAAATTGACATTCACTAGTGAAAATTATGCACTTATATACAGTATCTAATCAGAAAATGAAAAGTTCCAAATATCATCAGCAATAGCCTACTATGGGAGAGAACGAATCAACTTCTAGCTGAGGAGGAAATTAGGAAAAAATATTGAAAGTGCATAGGATATACATTACGGAAATCATCGAACTGCATCACGAGTCGAACATCAACTTGGAATCCTGAATGGAAACGGAACAGAGGAAGGTCAAAGAACACACTATGTCGGGAATTGTAAGCAGACAAAAAAACAATGAATAGCAACTAGAAACAACTGGAAATGAATTGTCCATGACAAAGTTGGATGGAGAATACTGGTGAGTGACCTATACTCCTCCACGAGAGGTGACAGCCGTAGAAAAGCAATATATATGTATATATATACCAGGAAGATTTCAAGTTCTTGGTCTTTGTTAATTAATGTTAATTTCTAACTTGTAATAAATAATGACCTACAGTGTTTTTTGAATTCATATTCCTGAATATGCCTCAATATTACGTCATAACTTGGGATTGCCCATATTTCAACACACGTATCACAAGCAGAGTTTAGACCTCGGACCGTAGAGGCTTTCAAAGTTTACACTAATGAGAAGTTCTATAATAGAACGAAACGATTGCTAATGCTTGTTTAAATGAGGTTAGTCCATGATCTGCAACTACAAATTCAACAACCTTCACATAACCTTCTACTTAAAGAGTGAATTTACTGGATAAAGTGTTAACTTTCCTTTATTGCTAATATTTCCAAACTGTATAGATTATACTCTGTTATCACACTACCCAGTCAAATGAATGTTTCATTAAAATGTGAATTTAAAAGTTGATGACATTTTAAACAATCACTAAGTGAATAAGTGAAAATGACCATTTAATCTTTCTGATACATCAACTAGATATATACACATCCTGATGTGATTCAAACTTCAACACTACTCAATTTCAATGTGTTAAGTAGTTTCTAGATAGTTAATAATAAAATATAGATTTCGTCTGTCAATATAAATAACATACATCACATTAATAACTTATCACATATTACCAATCTTCTTGTTTTAGAACCCAAGATAATCAGTCGAGTACTTTCTTGAACTTAAGACTCACTTGATTAGATGCATATTATATAAGTTTATAGTACAACATAAAGAATATCACATTATATACACATCTGCTCACTAGTGACTGACTTCAAGAGATACTCCTGGAGTTCTAGTGAGAATCCGTTACCAGTGGAGTTCAACCAGGTCTGTTGTGAGATATCAGCTCACTGAAGACAATGATGTACGGTGGCGCAACTTCGTAGATTGGTTGAAGTTAGACATTAACACCGCTGGATGCCGGCTCAGCGGTCTACAGGTTAAGCGCCTGGAGCGAGACTGATAGGTCCTGGGCTCGAATCGCGTGGGGTGCGGGATCGTGGATGTGCACTGCTGAGAGGTGCCACACTGGGACGAAACGGCCGTCCAGTGCTTCCAGGTTTGTCACGGTGGTCTAGCTTCAATTGACTTCAATCAGTGAAAATTTCTAAAATCTCCACAAAACCCCTTCTGACATTTAAAATATTCTTGTTATAGAGTTTACGAAATAGATTTAACGGGGATTTCCAGATAGAGAATGATATGACAACAGTTAAGTAGATGTATCAACTTAGAACAATGTCAAAATAGCACAAATCAAGTAATTTATAATTTATTAGTTGAATTCATGAATCAATTGAAGCTAGACTACCATAGAAAACCTGAAAGCATTGAATGGCTGCTTTGTCTTAGTATAGGACTCCTCCGTGGAAGTGCGGATCCACGATCCCGCCTCGCGTGATTCGAACTCAGAACCTACAGGTCTCGTGCGAGAGCGCTTAGTCACTAGACCACTGACTCGGTGCTAATGTCAAACTTTCAACCAATCCACGAATTGTATATTAGAAGCATATTTGTACTAACTAGTTGAAGGATAAATTTCAGAATATCTCATTTTCATCTACTTGTTCATTCATTACACTGAATAGCTGATTTCATTACTATTTTTGGATTCTATAATAATATGGGCCCATAACTCCATATAATTGAATCGAACTCAGATACTATACAATTCATAATCTATCATTGTTCATATTAGAATATTGAAACCATTTAAATAATGTAAAGAAGATCAATACTCGAATTACATGGTGATTTAATTAATCTACCCATTTCCTACAATTCAGATGTGTTTTTTTCCTAAGTCAGTCAGTCAGTCAGTCAGCTACAACGTAGGACCAGGGACAAATAATCATCGGTCAAAGTTGCTATACCTCATTAGTACAACAAGATGATCACTGAATTCATAGAAGTAGTAACTTTAATGGTAGTAATATATAAAAGAAGCGTTGTGTATAAAGATATAATACAGGAAGAAAGAATTAGTTGGTAGAATGTAAGATATAAAGCAAATTTAATCTCATAGTTTAAGGGAAGACAAAGAATGTATACAGCTACACCATTGTGATCGATTCTGAGCCATATCACCAAGAGTCTCCACTCATTGGTTACGATAGTCACGCGAACCACAACCAAGTAGTCTACATTTACCAACATGGCTAAGACTAGGAGTTAGTGACTTCAATCACTGATGCCATATTGTGGTTTGGCCACTCCTAACTTTCTTCCATCCATCTCCAATACTAATCAGTATTGCACGTCATGGTAATCGGAGTTCAGGCATACGCAGCATGTGGCCCAACTATCTCAATCGATGAAGATTCACAACCTTATCAATTGATTTACTGATTTACACTATTCATATGTTTAAATCCGTAATTGAATACCTCTGAAATCAAATGGCTTTAACCATTAAACACAACTATATACATAGAGAGAGTACATAATGTATGATCATACATTGAATTACATTTCTCTATAAGTAAGGATTATTTTTTTATGGTATCCGTATACATTACTGATTACAAACGAGAAAAGAAATATAAATTACACAAAGAATATATATTACATCAAATAATTATAGACAAAAAATGGATAGTGGATAACAGTGGAATACAGGATGAGCATTTCGTTTCATTTTGGACTTGTCAATTGGATGTACTAATCATGTCCTAGAGTAATATTCTCTCTAGAAACTGAAACCCAATACCGTTAGTGCACATCAACGTGACGGTAACTGAAGCGAACCGTATTGAATTCAAATTAATACAACAGAGTGAACATCAACTCTGAGATGCAGGTACATCCAGTTGACAAGTCCTAAATAGGACAAAGTGTCACGTAGCCTGGTTTCCACTGCTATCCATTATCATGCTTGCGAATTACGGCAATTTCAAGGCACATATATGTCAATAAGAGAGAAAGATTGATCAATTCCAATATCTTAACACATCAATTGGAAGATTCAAATAAACACAACAATATCAAGTAATGATAAATAATGATGGAAAATAATTTACCTTTCTAGAAATTGCTACATCAATTCCAAAATCTTGTATACGAGTAGCCATTATGATGATGATGATGAGGAGGAGGAGGATTAATGATGATCAATGATAATGATAGAAGAAAGTAACTTGAAAAGTGAAATTCTAACACAAGATCAAATAGGTAACAATTAAAGCTTGATTAAAATGAATGATCCTATACATTTGTCGTTAAGACTAATACATACAGACATACAGACATACGTATACACGCACACACACACACACTACACATAGAAGCACATATTTTAATGTAGGGAACAATAATATCCTATAATTGATTATTACAATACACTTTTTAGATTGGTGATCTAGACATGTTCAACAACTACATTACAATAATTTGATAATACACAGTAGAAAAATGTGCACTATAGTGAAATTACACCAATTGTAATTGTAAGAATTTGAATTACATCGTCCTCCCTCCCCCCCCTCTGCCCCGTGCGTGCCTTTTTTATATACAAAAATGAATGAATACATAAACAATTGAGATGACACCTCCGTATAAAATCGCATACATACACACATACATGGTTACTGGTTAGAGGCCTTTTTTATAACAAGATTGTTTTCTACAAGATGAAATTGCTGACCTTATGCCCACCACACCACATTTTTTTAGACGAATTTAAGACCGGCAATAGTTCTAGAAGAACTACAGGCAGAGTTCTATGCATAATTAGCTTAGATACGATTACTAAAAATAAATCTTTTCCTTTAATTAGATTTGTGTCCATTTAAAGATGTCTTATGGTGCTACATATATATATATATATATATATATATATATATATATATATGTGCATGTGTGCCAAATATTAACCAATCATATAAAAGTCTGCTGGTTATTTTTTTTAAATTAACCAATCAAATTATCAGATTGAAATAAAACAATGAAATAAATTCTCAGACTGGAATAATCAATAATATTCTATTACTTGAAATGACTTATTTCTGTCCACTATATGACCACTATCGATCAAGTGTGATAGAACCGAACTGCGTATTGTCTTGACGTTATCTTTTCCTAACCAGAAAGAGAGGTGTTCACTAACTCTTTAGTTCAGTAGCTTGATTTCTATTGTCGTTACGTTGATGACACTTTCATCAGTGCCAATCAGAACATTAGAAAAGATCAACTCCTAGAACTATTTTAATAACAAACATCCTACAATTCAATTTACATCTGAAGAGGAAATAGATAATAAACTACATTTCCTTGACGTTTTGTTAAATAGAAAAGAAAATGGTTCTATCAGCAGAGGTGTATATAGAGAAAGTTCTTCTTCAAGTCAATACACACATTTTTTTAAGCTTTGTGCCTCTTCATGATAAGAGAAACTTAGTCAAATATCTTGCAAATAGATATGTTCAGTTGACACAATTGATAAGCAATTAGAACACCTTTATAATATGTTGATTGAATTAGGTTATCCACAGGGTTTCCTGAAGAAACACTTACGTGTAACAAGTAATAAAATAGCGACATCAATGGCTAGTGAGAAACCTCTTTTCTTGAAGCTACAATTCAATGGTGATGTAACTAGTAATGTATCAAATATCAATTCCTGAACTGTTACCATTTAATTAGTGATCACTCAATATGTTATCGTCAGGGTAGATCAAGAATTAAGAAAAGCAAACTTACTGAAATACTTTATGCTGATAATTCTATATTCTACCATAAACTATAATATTGAATAAAGTCATTAATAATAATAATAATAATAATAATAATAATAATAATAATAATAATAATAATAATAATAATAATAATAATAATAATAATAATAATAGACTAGTACTATAAAGTCTGGTCCACCAGGGTGCTTGGTACCTGTGTGGTTGAGCCACAGGATTGAACTGTACTATTCAGATTGTAGTATTAAAGCCTATACGGTGTCTGGTTCTCCTGTGAAATGGGATTGAGCTGTACTGCTCGGATTATAAAATTTAAGTCTGGGCGGTGTCTGGCTTTCCTGTTAAACGGGGTTGGGCTGTACTGTTTGAGTTGTCACGTGAAAGTCTGGATGGTGTCCGGTTCTCTTGAAAACCAATCTAAAATTACTCTGGCCCAAAAGGGTATATTATATAACTGTGTGAACTATAAAGTCTACATTATACTCATAAATAATGATGAGCAGTATGAAAAAACAAACAAACAGATAAATAAATAAACAAGTATTGATTTAATATTACGTAATAATCAATAATTGTTTATCCATTAAAACGATTCATTACAACAAAAGTACTTCCCTAAAAGTTATACCCTTAAAATTAGTTCACTCCTAATGAAATTTTCTTTAATTTTTACAGTTTATTTCCCAAAATATGTTTGTAGGATTGAGAATGACTATTAAAACTGCACACACACACATACAAACATAAACAAACAAACAAATAAATAAATTCTTCCATAATTTTATACATATTTCTAAAATCTAGAACTGACCCAAACTATGCCTTGGATACGTACTATGGATACCTAAAAATTTCATGTGTACAGGTTTACGCACACACGCACATGCGCGCGTCACTGTGTGTACACACACACATGCACACCCAATTCAGAAATATGTAATACCAGAATAATAACAGGGATTTTTTTCATAAATAGATAAATAGTTTACTGAAACTGTGTCCTATTTAATATGTATTAAATATATTTTTATATATATTGTTTCTTTTTACCTTGGTGACTATTTAACATCTTCTATTATCCATAAACTGTGTTTTCAAAAACCACAAAAAAAATTTTTTTGGAAAAGAAAAAAAACTGAAATCAAATGATTTGTTTTTTTTGGGCTCTTTCCCTCTCCCCTCCCCCCTCTCTCTCTATCTCGTTATCGCTTAAAAGGTTATGTAATCTTTGATTGAAAGTAGATTAACTGAAATAGTAAATTGTTTTTCTTTTCTTTTTCAAGAGAATAAAGCGAAGGTGTAGGGAGAAGTGAGGGGGGGAGCGAAGTAATAAATGATAATAGATAAATTAAATTGAATTAGGCTACTTATTTTTTATTTATTTAAAAAATGGTATTCTGTGATAAACAGTTTGTTTCAGAAGGGGTTTGTGGAGATTTTTTAGAAATTTCACAGATTGAAATCATGAGTCAATTGAAGTTAGACAACCATGGAAAACCTGGAAGCACTGGACGGCCGTTACGTTCTAGTATGGGACTCCTCAGCAGTGCGCATCCATGATCCCACACCCCGCGAGATTTAAACCCAGAAAATATCAGTCTCGCGCGCTAAGCGCTTAGCTGACTAGACCACTGAGCTGGTCGGCTTCCAACGGTGTTAGTGTCTAACTTCAACCAATCCACGAAGTTGCGCCACCGTTCACCATTGTCCTCAGTGAGTTGATATCTCACAACAGACTTGATTGAACTCCACTGGTAATGGCTTCCCACTAGAACTCCAGGAGTATCTCCTGAAGTCAGTCATTAGTGTGCAGATGATTAGTATTAGAAGGGGTTTGTAGAAATTTTAGTTAGGTCGTGGGTTCGAATCTCGCGAGTTGCGTGATCGTGGATGCGCACTGCCGAAGAGTCTCATACTAGGACGAAACGGCTGTCTAGTGCTTCCAGGTTTTCCTGGAAGTATTGGACAGTCGTTTCATGCTAGTATGGGACTCCTGAATGGCAGTGCACATCCACGATCCCACCAACGGGATTCAAAATCAGGAGTTATCTATTTTGCTTCAATTCACCCATGAATTCAACGATTAAATTACTAGAATCCCTACAAAGCCCTGTTCTGATAATAATCATCATGTGTTCACTGGTGACGGGGTTCAACAGGTATTCCTGGAGTTCTAATAAGAAAGTGTAACCAGTGGAGTTCAATCAGGTCTTTTGTGAGATAGTAACTCACTGGAAAGTGGCGCAATTTTGTGAATTTGTTGAAGTTAGACATTAACATCATTGGATTTCTGCCAAATGGTCCAGAGGTTGGGTATTCGCACTCGAGACTGGCAGGTAACAGGTTCGAATCCCGCGTGTGGGATTGTGGATGAGCACGGCTGAGGTATGGCATACTAGGAAGAAACGACCGTCCAGGGATTCGGGGTTTTTCATGGTGGTCTAGCTTTAATCGACTCATGAATTCAACTATTAAGATATATTAAAACAATTGTTTTATTGGGGTAAATTTTATTCGTTTTAGAACATCATTTTCAAAACCTATACAGTTTATGTGATTATAACATTAGTGGTTGAAACTACTTCATTGTTTTCTGGAAAAATCCATAGAAGGTGACTGACGGAAAATAAACCAATCATCTTGGTCGAACTGTTAGTTTCATTAAATCTCTTTTGAATGACTAGCTTCAAGATGTTATTTCTGGAGTTCTAATTGGAAGCCGTGACCAATGGAGTTCAACCATATCAAGTGTATGATAGTAATGTACCAAAGATAATAGAACATAGTAATGTACATCGGAATGATTGAAGTTAGATATGTACACTACAGAATTCTATCTTAGTGGTCTAGAGATTAAACATTTATGAATGAGATCAAAGGTCATGAGATCGATTACCAAATGAGAAGTCATATACTGAGGGGTGACATAATTTTGATGAAATCGAAATCCATCGCTTACTAGAGATACGAAGATGGTCTAGCTAAATTCGGTTTACGATTTAAAATACAAATTTATTCAACAGTTGGTGAGATCTCCACTTTCTTGCTTTTAATGTTACAATAAAAAAATTGTTTTTAGTAAAATTAACGATTGTTCATATGAATGAGTATCATAGAGATTACTTATGAATATATCGGTAATATTTCACAATAATTGATCACAGCTGGAATAGAAATCAGAAAATAGAGAAAATAAGAAAACTTTAGTTCTAGTGTAGTTTACTGTTTAATAATGTACACCTACAACTCCACCAAGGATATGATTCATAATCTCCATGTCTCGTAGTGTTATGTTCGTTAACTTGAATGCTACTACTGATTCGTCTTACTTGGAACGGAACGAAGAATCAAGGATTCAGAG